CCAGGCTTTAGAGTACAGGCTTAGTGGTCGTAGCGCATGGGCTCAGTTGCTCCTCAGCACGTGGGATTTTCCCAGGCTAGGGATCAAACCCGTGTTTCCTGCACTGGCAGGAGGATTCTTTACCACCAAGCCACCAGGGAAGCCCCAAACAAACACAATTGTCAAGCCAACTCTTCTATATAGATTTCCCAAAGAAGGCAGGAGAACTCGCTTCTCTTCTAGGGTAATAAAGTAATAAAGCTCCTTTATTAATTTTTCAGACTGGTCAATGTTCAGGAACTGTAGACCCACAGGTCTCTGAGGTATCCTGGTTTCCAGACTCCTCCTCCTCCCTCCCCATGGGCCTGAGATGAGAGAATGTGAGTGCACGGCTGCAGGAACTAGAGAGGTTGAAGCCAAATAGCTTCGAGAAGCAAGGGCTTCAGAAGGTCAGGATGCAGCACCTTGAGCCTCCATCCTGCGCACAGGATGAGGTAGGAGCTCAGAAGGCAAAAACTCCAGGCCTATAGTTGGAAGACAATGTGATGCCCAGCAGAAATTCCTTACCCAGAAAGAAAAATGATCCAAAGGAGACCTGCTGCTTGGTGGGTTTGTTTATTTGGTGAAGGAAAGTTATAAATATGGAGCTTTCCAAATCCTTTCCCACACGCTCTATGATGGTTTTAGACTCAGGTTCACAGGTCTCTCTAAAAAGTGACATTTTCTTACCTTACTCTAAGGTCAAAGTTTATTTTTTTTCCTAGTGAGATCCATATTTTATGCTCAAAGTTTAGTTAACTTGGGACTTCTATGGTGGCCCAGTGGTTAAGGGTCCATCCCGCTAGCAGGGGGCATGGGTTTGATCCCTGGTCTGGGAACTAAGATTCCACATGCTTCAAGAAAAAAAAAAATAAATAAATAAAAAATTATTTTTAAGTAAATAAATAAATTGATTAATTAAAGTGTGCAGTTTGATGAGTTTTTTTGTTTTTTTTTTTTTGAGGTTTAGGTAACTTAGCTATACTCCTATTTTCTGTATAGGGCCCATTCGATTTTCCTCTTGGCTCCTACTGAGGCTTTTATTTCATCCATGTTACTTCTTGACCTGCATTTAAATGGTCAGAAATGCTGACAGACAAAGGGACAATTTAAATGCTGACAGATGTTGCAGGGGATACTTTACCCAGGATAGGGTCTCTGGGAGAGTGGGGGGGGGGGGGGGGGTAATAGTAATGACCTGATGAGATGCCTCAGTCTACAGATCTCCATTATAATCATGAAATGGCCAGCAAAATGGTGGCCTAAGATATTCTAAGATTTCATTCCCCAACAGAAACATCAAAACAAGCAAAGCAGAATGTTGTTTGAGCTCTGGAAAACAGTGAAAAGTTGACAGCAATCAAACAAATGTTCAATCAAGAAAAAGACATCTTTAAAATGGTACAGGGGTTCATGAGGTGACATCAGCAAGATGATGGAATAGAAAGTCTCCAGCTAGTATCCCCCCTCAGCGAAAAAAATTCAGTATGGCTCCATGGGCAAAAGTACTTTTGGGAATCATGTGAATCCCTGATGGAGTCCAAGACCAGGGAGAGGCACATTTAGAAGGTGAGCTCATGCCCAGGTCATTGTCTCACTGACTGGGGTCCCATATACAGACATGAAAACAGATAGAGGAAAAGGATTTAACACCTTTTAATGATTAAAAACTCTCAACAAAACAGGTGCTGAAGGAAGTTATCTCAACTCAATAAAGGCCATATCTGACAAGCCCACGGCTAACATACTCAGCGGTGGAAAGCTGAAAGCTTTCCTTCTAAGACCAGGAGTCAGACAGGGTGCCCACCCTCACCACTCCTATTCGACGTAATACTGGAAGTACTAGCCAAAGCAATTAGGCAATAAACCCTAAGAACTCCACACACACACACAAAAGGTGTTCAAACTAGTAAACAAATGCAGTAAAGTAGTGGGATATAAAGTCAACACACAAAAATCAGTTGCATTTTTAAACACCAACAATGAACTAACTGACAAATAAATAAATGAAATAATCTCATTTACAATAGCAGCAAAAAGAATAAAATAGGAATAAATTTAACCAAGGAAATGATAGATCTGTATACTGAAAACTATAAAGCCTTGATGAAAATAGCTGAAGAAGATATAAATAAATGGGAAGATATCCCACATTCATGGACTGAAAGAATTAATATTGTCAAAATCTCATACTACCCAAGGCAATCTAGAGATTCAATGAAATCCCCATTAAAATGCCAGTGATATTTGTTCACAGAAATAGGAAAAAAAAAATCCTGCCACAAAAGTTTTCAAATAGATAAAGAAATCTTGAGAAAGAAGAACAAAACTGGAGGCATGACACTCTGGGATTTCAAACTAAATTACAAATCTATAGTAATCAAAATAGTATAACACTGGGGTAAAAAAGAGATACATTGGCCAATGGAACAGAATCAACAGCCCATAAATAAACCCCAGAAAATGGTCAATTAATCTTTGACAAGGATGCCAAGAACACAATGAAAAAGGATAGTCTCTTCAATAAACGGTCCTGGGAAAACTGCATACCACATGCCAAAGAATTAAACTGGATCCCTATCTTTCAACACTGAAAAAAATTAACTTGAAATGGAATAAAGATTTAAATGTAAGACCTGAAACTATAAATTTCTAGAAGAAAATATAGGGGGAAATCTCCTTGACCTTGGTGTTAGTAATAACTTTTCTGGGTATGACATCAAAAACCCAGGCAAGAAAAGAAAAAAATAAATGCAAATGGGACTACATTAAACTGAAAGTTTTCTGCACAGCAAAGAGATCAGTCAACAAAATGAAGGGGCAACCTACAGAATGGAGAAAATATTTGTAAACCATATATCTGGTAAGGAGTTAATATCTAAAGTATGCAAACACTCATCAACTCAAAAGCCAAACTAGGGACTTCCTTGGTGGTCCAGTGGTTAAGAATCTGCCTTGCAATGGAGGAGATTCAGGTTTGATCCCTGGTCAGGGAATTAAGATCCCACCTGCAGTGGAGCTACTGTGCCCTTGCACTCTTGAGCCTGTGTGCCACAGCTAGAGAGTCCATGCACCACGCTGAAACATCCAGCATGGCAAAGATCCTGAGTGCTGCAACTAAGATCCAGTGCAGCCAAATAAATATTTTTAAATGCTTAAAAAAAAAATAAAGAAAAACCAAATAGCCTGATTTTCAAATAGGGAAAGGACCTGAATAGAATTTTTTCCAGAGAAGACATACGAACTACCAAAAAAGTATATGAAAAGGTGTTCAACATCACTAATTATTTGGTAAATGCAAGTCAGCACCAAAATGAGATATCACCTTATACTTGTTAGTATGACTATTAAGTCAAAAAGATTTAATATCCATTGACAGATGAATGGATAAAGAAGTGGGGGTACATATACACAATGGAATATTACTCAGCCATAAAAAGGAACACATTTGAGTCAGTTTTAAACAGGTGGATGAACCTAGAACCTACTATACAGAGTGAAGTAAGTCAGAAAGAGAAAGATAAATATCATATTCTAATGCCTATGTACGGAATCTAGAAAAATGGTATTGAAGAATTTATTTACAGGGCAACAGTAGAGAAACACACATAGAGAATAGACTTGTGGACATGGGGAGAGAGGAGGAGAGGGTGAGATGTATGGAAAGAATAACATGGAAACTTACATACTTACACTATGATATATAAAATAAATAGCCAATGGGAATTTGCTATATGGCTCAGGAAACTCAAACAGAGGCTCTGTGTCAACCTGGAGGGGTGGGGTGGCGGGGGGAGATGGGAGGGAGTTTCAGGAGGGAGGGGATACGTGTATATATATGGCTGATTCATGTTGAGGTTTGACAGAATACAACAAAATTCTATAAAGCAATTATCCTTCAATAAAAAATTAATTAAAAAAATCAAAAAGACGAGAACTTACAAATTCTGGCAACTATCTGGAGAAAAGGGAACCCCTAAGCACCATTGCTGCTGTTGTTTAGTCGCTAAGTCATATCCAGCCCTCTTGCGACCCCATAGACTGTAGCCTGCCAGGTTCCTCTGTCCATGGATTTCCCAGGCAAGAGTATTGGAGTGGGTTGCCATTTCCTCCTCCAGGGGATCTTCCTGACCCAGGGACTGAACCCATGTTTCCTGCATTGACGGGCAGATTCTTTACCACTGAGCCTCTAGGGAAGCCACTATACACCATTGGTGGGGTATAGATTGATAGTCATCAGGGCAAACAGTATGGAGGTCCCTCAAAAAGTTAAAAATAGAGCTATCGTATGATCAAGCGATCCGACATCTTTATATGAGTCCTGAGAATCATTATCACATGCTTCTAGGTTGATACGCCCATTGTCAAAACCTCTGTCCCAACCCACTCCACACCCCTGCCCCGACCCCTCTGAACGCAGTGCTCATAGAGCCACTTCCCCTTCTTGCATGGGCTGCCTCAGTCCTGATGTGTAATACAAAGTCTAACTCAGATTACCTGCTCCAGAGAAACATAGAGGAACATAGGAAATACAAAATAACTTCACTTTCAAGGGATGTAATTTCTTGGTCAGGAATCTTATCCGCTCTACAAGGATCCCTCACCCCTTGTCCTCCTGACTCTTTTCTAGACCCTTCACCTCTCTCTTACCTCTCTCTTTGTCCCCTTCATCTCTCCCTAATCCTCACCCAGACTATCCAAATATTCTTAAAGATGCCGTCTTTCCACACAGTGAACACCCCTCTCTCCACCTCCAATTTTCACCCCGTTTCTCATCTCTCACCCCTCCTTCCCACACCTCACCTGGTCCAACATGGCTCTGGAGGGCCAGGGTCTCAGAGCTTCAGGGGAGAGGTTTAAAGGTCCTCCTGCCCAGGAGACGGCTCTGATAGTGCTCCCCACTTGCCCAAGGCTGATCATTAACCTAGAGCACATATAAGAAATGGGCTGTCCCTGGGAAGGGGAAAGCAGTGCCTGCAGCCATGGCCAGCACGCTAAGCCCCAGCACGGTGACTGAGACTTCCAGTCCTCCTGAGACCTCACAGCGCATACACAATGCTGCTGACATCTCCGTCATTGTCATATATTTCGTGTTGGTGATGGCCGTTGGACTGTGGGTATGTAGGAGCTTAGTGGGATGTTCAGAGTGGGCTCAAGGCTTGAGGGTGGGAGAAATGACTGAGGGAGGGAAAAGTGTGATGTGACAGAGCAGAGAGGACATTAAATCAGCTGTCAATAATCAGCTGTCACAGATTTTATTGTCTCTCCCTAAGCAGTCATTTTCTCATGTGTGATGTCAGTAATGCTTCCACTGATTTACTTTATTCTTCTAACAAGCCCATCGTGAGAACAGGACTGTAGACTTATCCTGTTCGGCATTTCCAGCACCTGACATCATGAATAAAGGTGTTGTGTTATTATCTCATTGATTTTATTTTCCTTTGCTCACTTTCTATTAACAACTTAGTTGATTTGGATGCTTATGTCATTTACATTCTTTCTTTCTTTTAAGTAATGAGCTGGAGGCTGCAAATTTTCTTCCAAGCACGGCTTTAGCAATAGATACCTCACATTGTATTCATCAATGAAAATAAACAGAGCAATTAGGACAGAAGTTGAGAAATATGATTTCTTAAAGTGCTTTGGTTTCTATGAAGTTGTGATTTTGAAGTCCTTGAAAAATTGGTGCTGTATCACAGTTTTGAGGATTATGTTTCTCTTTAGGAGTGCTGGAAAAGAAGGTCATGTCTGTCAGAACCCTGGCCAGAGATTCTGGGACATCTCAGGGGCTCTTTCTGAGGCTTGACTCGTAAATGTCTTCCCTTCTGCTCAGGCAATGCTGAGGACTAACCGGGGCACTGTTGGAGGCTTCTTTCTGGCTGGCCGAGATGTGACCTGGTGGCCGGTGAGTGAGTCAAAGCTTCCTGGCGATCCATTTCCAGTGTGTATGTTTAAGGACAAGCCAAGAAAACATGTAGAGTGCTGATCATGTCTGAGGTGCATTGACTGCCTGCTTTCTGGTGTCTCTTTTCCTAAACCCCTGACCTCAGAGCTCAGCCCTGTCATTCCAGTAAACAAGAATACATCACCCATTATGAGAGCAGGTGTCGTGTGGCATTTGGAAAGAGCTGGTTTGGCTCCGATTCATTTTTTTTAATTTATTTTTAATCGGAGGATAATTGTTTGCAGTGTTGTGTTAGTTTCTGCCGTAGGGCAACGTGAATCATCCATAAGTATACATATGCCCCCTCCCACGTGAACCCCCCACCCACCCTCGTCCCCTCCTCTAGGTCGTCACGGAGCACCAGGCTGAGCTCCCTGTGCCACACAGCGAGTTCCCACTAGCTGTCTATTTTACACACGGGAGCGTATACATGTCAACGCTACTCTCTCAATTTTTAAAAATCATTCAGGGCCTTTCCTGGTGACCCAGTGGCTGAGACCCCACCTTCTAATGCAGGGGACGCAGGCTCGATCCCTGGCTGGGGAACTAAGATCCCACATGCCAACGGATAACTAAGCCGAGTGCGGCGACTAGAGAAGCCCACAGGCCACAACTACTGAGCCCAAGCACTCTAGAGCCCATGCCCCGAAACAAGGGAAGCCTGTGCACCAAAATGAAAAGACCCAGCACAGCCAAAAAATAATTCAAAAATGTGAAAACAATATTATATACCAACCGCGCAAAATCTGATGACCAGCTAAATTTAGGCCACAAGCTATAAGCTTGCTGACTCCTGCCGTATGGAGAAGTAATGGAAACATCTCAATATTTACCTGAAGAAGTCTGACTTGGGACTTTTAGCTCTGACCCTAATCTCTTCCCTTGGATTCCAGATGAGCGCCTCCCTCTTCGCCAGTAACATCGGCAGTGGCCACTTCGTGGGGCTGGCAGGGACCGGAGCAGCTTCGGGAATCGCCATTGCGGCATTTGAATGGAACGTAAGTGACATCACGGGCTTGTTCTTTAAATCGAAACTCTAGGTGTGTTTGTCTGTGCTACCCATTCCGATATTCTTGGGCTTCCCCTGTGGCTCAGCTGGTAAAGAATCCACCTGCAATGCAGGAGACCTGGGTTTGATCCCCGGGTTGGGAAGATCCCCTGGAGAAGGGAAATTACCCCACTCCAGTATTTGGCCTGGAGAATTCCATGGACTGTACAGTCCATGGGGTTGTGAAGAGTTGGACACAACTGAGTGACTTTCACTTTCCCTTTTCTTTTCTGCATAGCACAAACTCCTCTTTGGTTTGACTTCTATTTCTCCTTCTTCTTGAACCTCAGGGCCTTCCCTGTGTAACCCATTTTGCCCAGGCCATACCCTACCTCTGAGGTTTCACTAAAGCCATTATTCCCACCCTGGAAGTCATCTCTATATCATTTAATCCCACTTTTACTTGACCTCCTTGATCATTTTAGCTCTCATTTTTCTCTCTCCCCCCGCCCCGAGCTATATTATACATTCAGTCTGAATTAGAAGCAAGAAATTAAAACATGTACAAGTAATGACCCCGTCTTTGAAAAGCTTACATCCCAGTGGGAGAGACAGATAAACATTCACTGCAGTGTAGAAAGCACAAGGAGAGAAGCATGCATGGAGCACTGAGAGATCTCAACAGAAGGAAACAGAAGGGGCATGGATGGATGCAGAAGGGGCATCCATCCTAGATGGTGGGTGGGACCAGGCAGGTGTCCAGGGAACTTCCTGAGGCTGCTGCCAGACAGAGGAGTAGAAATTGGCCAAGGAAGTGACAGAACAGTAAAGAGTAAATGATTTGGAGGTAGCAGATCAAATCTCTAAGACTTGGTGATTGAGTTCCTAATTGCTGTACTGCCACCTCACCAGTGCAAGCTGTGTGTTCTTAATTAGATTCTAAGATCTTTAAGCACAAGGGGCCATCTCCTCTCGTGTCACTCACACCACCCCATCATTCAGCATTTGACTGGGCACAATCTGTAAACATTTCGTGAGTTGACTGAGTGTCTTCGGTTCTATTCTCTTATCCTTTCTAGTGTTTGTTTGTGAATGTATATGCCTATCAGTCAGGGAGATGCTTACGTGGAAGAAAGTTGGATCATTGTAAACTATATGTATATAAACAGACTATCCTGGATAGACTCAGCAAGGGAACTTGTGTCGTCACAAGTAACCGTGCCCCACCCCTATTGAAGATTTTGCCCCAGTAATTACTTTAGTAGTATCAGAGACTCAGAATGGACCCAGCCTCCCCGTGTGCCCTATGGTCTGGGTTTCGCTTTGATGGTGCCATGGAGTCGAGAAAGGAGCCAGCCTCCAGAAGCGTGGACAAAATGCCCTATGGCCCCAGGGAGTGTGGTTATCAGCTTGCTGAGAGCCTGGCTCTTTTAACTGTGACCTTAGGTTTCTTTAATCTCTGTGAGGTTCAGGTTACCCCTCCATAAATCAGGAATAACTGTGCTTATCGCATCTGCCTCACCTGGTGCTGTGAGAACAGCATGAGTGATAGAAGTGAAGATGTTTTCATAAATGTTAATATTCATGTAAGATTGTACTATTATCATCATTATATATGGCAAGACTTGGGAAGGCAATGGGAATATTCTTCTGTCTCTAAATTTCTCATTGGTTTGTCACTCTATATGATTCCTGACATTCAAGAATAATTCCTAGGGCCTTCCCTCGTGGCTTAGTGGTTAAGAATCCACCTCCCAATATAGGGGATAATGGTTTGATCCATGGTGGGGGAACCAAGATCCCTCATGCTGCAGGGCAACTAAGCCCACTCACCATACAGAAAGGTTCCATGTGCTGCAAGGAAGACTCGACACAACTACATTTTTTTTTAAGAATAATTCCTTTTGGTTAAGATTGTATGACCTTCTAGTGGTCCAGCTGGGCTCACATCTCTGACTGTCCATTTTTCACCACACATCTTTGCCACATCCTAAGCCCCAGGAAATGTGATCTCTGGATCATGGAAGCAGAAGAAAGAGACCCACAGCTGTCTTGGGATCATAACTGTTTGAGTGGGGNTGGTCCAGCTGGGCTCACATCTCTGACTGTCCATTTTTCACCACACATCTTTGCCACATCCTAAGCCCCAGGAAATGTGATCTCTGGATCATGGAAGCAGAAGAAAGAGACCCACAGCTGTCTTGGGATCATAACTGTTTGAGTGGGACAGGATTGAAGCAAACATTATATCTTCAGACCTGGAGGTTGTGAAGCGAAAAGGCCCACGAGCCAAACCTCTCTGACTTCCTCTCTGTCCTTGGTTTCTTATAGGCCTTGCTGCTGTTGCTGGTTCTAGGGTGGTTCTTTGTCCCCATTTACATCAAGGCAGGGGTGAGTAGCCACAGGTGTTCTCTGGCGCACATGTCAGGCATTCATTTATTCCCTCATTTTTTTCTGCTCAGCTATGAAACCTGAGTAACATTATTCACCCCAGAATTTCTGAGCTTACATTTACATAAGACCACTAACTACTGGACTTCCCTGGTGACCCAGTGTTAAAGAATCTGCCTGCCAATGCAGGAGACAAGGGTTTGATCACTGGTCCAGGAAGATCCCACACATCGCTGGATGACTCATCCCATGTGCCATACTACTGAGCATGTGCTCTAGAGCCCTCCAGCCGCAACTACTGAGCCCACGTGCTGCCCACAAAACTACTGAAACCAGCTCCTGGAGCCTGTGCTCTGAGACAAGAAAAAGCCACTGCAATGAGAAGTCCACGCATCACCAGCAAGGAGCAGGCCCCGCTCGCTGCAACTAGAGAAAGCCTGCAAGCAGCAACAAATACCCAGCGCGGCCAAAAAATAATACAAATCAAAAAAGAATTTTCAAAACTTAAAAAAAGACCACGAAGTGCTGCAGGATTGCTCTTGAAAATGGCTGCAGTCAACTATCCTCTTGCTGATCACTGTTGGGATTCTACTTTTCCGACATTCTTACCAATACATGATATTTTCCTTTATTCTAACTTTTGTCATCCTGACGTTTGTAAGGTAGCTTTTTTTTAATGACGGGTAGGAAGCACCATGCTGTGGTGGCTCCCCTTCAATCTGGGCGTTGCCAGCCAACTGGGGCGCTGCTGTGCCTCTTGCAGCATAACTGCCACACTCACTCCCTCTGCGCTGAGGGGTGCCGTGTCCTGGGATAATTCCTGGGATGGGGCTCCCGGGGAGCAAGCTTTACTGCCTACTCCCTCTGCATGTCACTGTATAGCCCTGTGCTCATCCTGAGTCCCTTCCCATTCCGGGCTTGGGCAAGCTCTGCCCTCTTTGGTGCAAGGATCCACAGCACATAACTCATGCATGTGTTCTTGGACATGGCTTACCATCCTTGCGGTGGTTCTGCACAGTCTCTGAGCCCCAAGAGTTCCCCTTCTTGTTTTTGATAATATTATATTAATATTTATTTAAGATTCTTTTATACTGGGGGAGATGAAGCCATGAGCTTTGTCTGCTGTGAAGGAACCAGAAAAATGTACCCCTTAAGCTGATCACAAAGCTGATCTAGTATTTTGATAATGATAACCTCAGCTTTTTCTCTACATAGGATTTAATGTAACTCTTCTTTTCAATAAAGACAATCATGTGAATGTACATACAGATGCATATTTGCAATTTATTCAATTATCTATTTATCATGTAACTGTAATTGCAGTCCGTCATTTATGTTGTTTTTGCTAGACTGCAACATTATCAGTGAAAATAATAAATATTATCTCTTGAGCATCACCATTCATTTGGTGTTGTGGTAAGTATTTTACACCTACTTCCATATTAAAGCCCCACATTACAGGTGAGAAAACAGAGGTTCAGAGAGACCGTCATTTGCCAAAGATCACAATCTGGGAACAGATCCCAAGAATGCTTGAGTCCAATGCCCATGTTCTTTCCAGACTCACAGCTTCCCAAGGGACTGTGCCTTCTCACTCATGTCTCCCCACCTTGGGGGTGTTACCCACCTTGAGGGTAACTGCCACACACAGTTACCTGTCCACAGAGGCTTAATACATGTTGGATCATCTGAATGTGTGGGACCCTGAAGATGAATCCCTGCTGGTGTCTGTCTCTGCAGGTGATGACCATGCCGGAATACCTGAGGAAGCGGTTTGGTGGGAAGCGGCTCCAGGTCTACCTCTCCATCCTCTCCCTGTTTATCTGTGTGGCTTTGAGAATCTCAGTGAGTTCAATGCCCTCCTGGTGTTTTAGCTTCATGAGGGACAAGAGTGCTAAGATCAGAGAACTTTATGGGTCAAGCCATATATGGATGTTTTAAAACTACTTGGGGTCTCTCTCAACATGTTAATCATTCAGTTGTGTCTGACTCTCTGTGACCCCATGGAGCTCAGCAGCCTCCTCTGCCCGTGGAATTCTCCAGGCAAGAATTCTGGAGTGGGTAGCAATTCCCTTCTACAGGGGATCTTCCCAACCCAAGTATCAAACCCAGGTTTCCTGCATGGCAGACAGATTCTTTAAAATCTGAGCCACCAGGGGGTCTCTCTGCCAAGATTTTATGCCAAAAGAAAGGGTGGGGGGAGCTTCAGAAACCCTGCATTCATAGAGTAAAAGAATTCTGAGTCACAAGAGCCTCCAGAGTATAAACCCATTGTTTCACTAAGACCATGAAAAAATAATGGATGGACAGAAAGAGCAGAATGTCTCATTCAAGTGTCACAGCAATTCAGTAGCAGAAACAAGAAGGATTCTCTAGCTCCCACCTCCCTCTGCACAATAACCTTTTCATTCTCATTGTCAAGGCCAGTCTAGGTTTACATTTTCCTTTTCAGCTTGACTATCTAACATGAAGACCAGAAGGGAAAGTGTTTTGTATTATTATACTGATTTTGCTTAAATGTACCTTATTTTATCTGAGATTGCCCATATGAAACAAATGGCACAAACAAGAGTTAAAAGAATTCTAAAGTTTTTTTTTTTAGTCTCTTGGAGATAATTATTGAGGAAAGAAGAAATTTGAAGATTCAGTAGTACATGTAGAAACCAAAGAGAAATCTCCTCATGTGTCAGTGACTAAGGACATGATCTCCTGAGAGTTTATAGTCCAGGCAGTCCACTAGGGCAGAAGTTCACCCTGCTTATCGATCCATGATTGAGCCGAATCATGATTGGAAGTAAACCAGCTGCTTAGATTAGATGGCCCGAGCCTTCCTAATGCAACGTGAGCATTTCCCAGTACTTATTATAAATTGTTGGGCTCCATGTTAGGGGAACAAGATTCCTGTTCACTAGCAGTTCACTACGTCGTTAAGGAAGGGTATAAGAATTTTACATGTGAAATAGCACTTTATGGCATTATATGCAAATATATTAAACTAAGAGCTGGACTAGAGTGTGTAGATAAGTGCAGGAAATGTGCTGCAGGGCGGGAAAGAGGATGGCAGTCCATGCTGGGTGGAATTGGAGGTCGTCCCCATTGGTGAGGGCTGGGGGCACTTGAGTCCCAGGACAGGAAGGTGAGGAGAGTCCAAGGGAGGCAGAGGAGCCTGCAGGTGTTGGCGGCTTCGTGCTTACATGCTCCTCCGGTGAGTGGGAGCTGGTGATTTCCGTTCTCCTCTGGCTCTGACATCTAGAGCTCTATGATGCTAGAGTATGAACGAGGTGCTGGAGCAGAATGACAGGTACCAAAGAGAGGCAGCCTCCTGAGGTGGTTGGTTCCTGCTGGTGGGGAAGGGGTGGAAGATTGGGGAGCTGAATGGAGCAGCACAGAGGCCCAGAGCATGCGTGTGACTATGCACGGTCTGGTGTGGGCAGCTGGAAAGATCCTGTAGCAGGAGTCCATTCTCACCTACAAGGTTATATCTTAAGTGGTATCAATAGTCCTAGACATGACATTTTGTGTACTCTTATACACTGATAACAGCTTCTGTCCTGGTTACTTATTAAACAGATCAACAACTTTCACAGCCATCTCCTGCCCCAAGTTTTAAAAAGATCATATTGTTCACTGGTTCTCAACCTCCAGTAATGTGTAAGGTCCAAGAGTGCTCAGTCATGTCTGACTCTTTTGTGCCTCCATGGAATGTAGCCCACCAGGCTCCTCTGTCCATGGGATTCTCCAGGCAAGAATATTGGAGTGGGTGGCCATGCCCTTTTCCAGGGGATCTTCCCAGCCCCGGGATAGAACTGGCATCTCTTATGTCTCCTGCATTGGCAGGCAGATTCTTTTCTTCTAGCACCACCTGGGAAGCCCCAAAGGATGGTATGGTCTCACTAGGGTTGTGGTAGGTGGCAAGCTGAGAGAAAAGAAAGGCTTTTCTTGACTGGGAATCAAACCTGGGCCAAGGCTGTGAGAGTGCTGAATCCTAATCACTAGGCCACCAGGGAGCATCAAATATTAATGGGAAGACATCAGTGATGAGCTGAGTGAGGCAGTGCATGTTTCCTTTCCACCCTGATTGTTCTCTCTTTAGTCAGACATATTTTCTGGAGCCATATTCATCAAACTGGCCTTGGGATTGGACCTATACCTGGCGATCTTCATCCTCTTGGCTATCACTGCTATTTACACAATCACTGGTAAGCCCGTGCTATCCTTTGCCTACCTCACCCCAAGCTGTCATTAGCATTGTCACTGCCATGTAAGGATACCCTTTTATTTCCATTGTGAGATTCAAGCACAGATGGAGAAACATAACTAGAGCAAAGAAAACAGTATGAGGTGTGAGCACCATGACATGGTAAACAGGATGGGAAAATGGTGACTTGGCTCAGCTATGTGTCTGGTACGCAGACCGGCATTTGGAATCCTGCGTAACATACACATGGGAGGTCGGGATGAAATAGTGGCTTAGACCCGAGACTGGCAACACCAAGGCAGGGCCCAAGTGAGTACATGCCAGGGCACAGTGGTGGGACTATGAGCTGCAGAATCAGGAAAGGAAAACAGGAACAGAGGGTTGGTTGTGGGAGGAAAGGTGTGGTAATAATTCAAGCAGGCTTTCATGAGCCAGATGTACCAGTGTTCTCCCTCATGCATACAAATAAGAAAATCAAACTATGCCAGCTCAACTGGAAAAATAAAGAAAAAGTATAGCTGGAACAATAGAGACAGTCCTGAAGCCATTTTTATACATCAAGTACGTGTCTCAGGATAAGTGACAGATAAGGGCATAAATCTCCTATTTTCAGTAACCATCTTGTTTCCCTCTCATAAAGGGAGTATCTCATTAACTGAGATTCTGTGAGCCCAGAGTTGAAAGGGAAGTTTTTGTGGTTCGAACAACACTGCAGGAAAACACAGCTCATCAAATGTATCTGGTTCTCGACTAATGAAACAATAATACACTCCAACGGGAGAGCAAAAATGGCCTTGCCCAGTTTTTTGAGAGCAAGTGTAATTGTGCTAAATGGAGCAAACTGAGGGATCAGCGAGGGAAAAACTTTGCCTTCTATGGCGCTCCCTGGTAGCTCAGATGGTAAAGAGTCTGCCTGCAGTGCGGAGACCTGGGTTCGATCCCTGGCTGGGGAAGATCCCCTGGAGAAGGAAATGGCAACCTACTCCAATATTCTTGCCTGGAAAATCCCATGGACGGAGGAACCTGGCAGGTTATAGCCCATGGGGTCGCAAAGAGTCGGACGTGACTGAGCGACTTCACTTTCACTTTTCACTTTCACCTCCTTTGAAAAACTATTGCTTAGATAAATTATTTTGTTTAATCTTAATATCCTTGTGTTCAGAATGGGCAAAATTAGTACCACTGAGTTGACATTTTATGAAAGTATTCGTGCGTTGGATCCAATGCACAGAAACCTTTCCTTTACCTAAAATCCTCATTAAATGAAAGATTAAATATTAGGAAATATTTACATAACTAAATATTAACTTCATTATGACTGATGGAAATTATTGAAGAATATTCATTACTCTATTATTATATAAATAACAGATATACTTTGTATTTTCCTTTATGACTCTCACTTATTAGTACCATCAGTTATTCATTCTTTTAAGTCATGCCAGATCACTATTGATGAATCTGATTTACAGCTTGCTAATTTTGGGCTTCTTTTATTATAGTTTTTGTTTTTGTTTCCATAGAAAATCCATGCATAAAGTAAAAAGGATATAGGGTGAAGACAAATGCCCTTTCATCCCTCTCTTGTCCAGCAGTCACCCTGCTCCAACACCCACTCGAGCTGCACTGAATGAAACATTCCTGAACACGCAGGCACCTAATCAGAGCTTAAAGATACAAGGCAAAAACTGATAGAACTACAGAGACAACAAATTCACAATGATGACTGGTGATTTTGTCGGAACATGGCTGCCATTAACCACATGTGGCTATTTAAATTTAAGCTAATTAAAAATTCAGTTTCTCACTTGCTTAGCCATATTTCAAGCACTCAGTATATGGCAGTGTCCTGCACTTAGCTGCTCAGGCATGTCCAACTCTTTGTGACCCCATGGACTGTAGCCCACCAAGCTCCTCTGTCCATGGGATTTTTCAAGCAAAATTACTGGAGTGGGTTGCCATTTTCCTCCTCCAGGGGATCTTCCCGACCCAGGGATTGCACCCACATCTCTTGTGCCCCCACATTGCAGATTCTTTACCCACTGAGCCATTAGGGAATTCCCAGCAGATGGCCAGCAGCTACCACATAGGACAGCACAGGCAACGGCTCCATCCTTGTAGGAAGTTCTATGGCACAGCGCTACTCCTGAAGCAGCTGCTACTGCCAGTTCCTTGTGAACTTGCTACTTAGCCAGAATTTCTGTTACTCTCGTTCATGCTCCTTTGGTCTCTGGCCTCAGTGGTGTACACCCTGGCATCAGCTTCTCTAAGACTCACTTATCCTATCCTTATGGGTAGACTCTCACCTCCTAGGTCCTCCATGTATTTTTGCTACAAACCATGTTTCCCTTATCAGAACAATTTCCTTGTATTGTCTGCATCCTCCATTAGGTTGAGTTTCTGCCTTGCACATTCATTTTGCCCATAATCCCACCACAATATTTGGTGCACACAAACGTGTTAGCGCTAAATTAAATAATGAATAAAGAAGTAAACTGTCGACCTCAACTCCACAAATGTAGAATTGTAATATCTACCACTCTAAAATTTACTCTGATGAATTTTGTGTCATCTGAACCTTTATAAGTTGTCCCAAATGTCTGGGCTCATCTTTCTAAGGTTTCCATCCATTGTGGTTCTTTGCTACACCTGACTAGCTTTTCCAGACCCTCTCATTGGGGTAAGTTTCCCTATATCCCCTCACCACGCATAATCTGATTGGAGGTGTTTGAGTACCTCCACCACAAAGGAGTGATTATGAACACTTTAGATGTCTAAGATTTGACAGAAATTTCATTTCATCCAATTCCTTTTCAGCTTTTGCCGAAGTCGGAGGCTACGAGAATTTTACAGAGAAGTACATGAATGCCATCCCAACCATAGTGGAGGGGGACAACCTGACAATCAAATCCAAGTGCTACACACCTCAGGGAGACTCCTTCCATATTTTTCGAGATGCTGTCACTGGGGATATTCCATGGCCAGGAACAATATTCGGAATGACTGTTGTAGCTGCGTGGTATTGGTGTACAGATCAGGTAAAGTGTGTGTGTGCGTGTGAGAGAGAGAGAGAGAGACAGAGAGAGAGATACATGAATATGTTTATGTTGTTCTTTTTCTACTCATAGAAAAACATCTAGTTTCTATTTCATACACATACATACATCATTTAAAGAGCCAAAACCTTCTATGAATACGACGCTTGTTATGAAATTTAAAAAAGAATGAACCCTTTCCTGGTGGCTCAGATGGTAGAGTCTGCCTGCAAAGCAGGAGACCCAGGTTAGATTCCAAGGTCAGAAAGAACCCCTGGGGAAGGGCATGACAACCCACTCCAGTATCCTGGCTTGGAGAATTCCATGGACAGAGGAGTCTGGCAGAATACAGTCCCTGGGGTCACAAAGAATCAGACTTGACTGAGTGACTAATACTGTTATGAAAAATAGCTGTCTAGTGTCCAACTTTCTACCTATTTCTCATCTCCCAAAGGCAAACAATTTCAACTCCCTCAGTTTAGTATTTTGGTATGCATTTTTATTCTCTAAATCTTGTACTCACTGTATAGTTTGTGAACAACTGGCATGGATATTACCTTAGAGTTCATTAGAAATGAATGCTCTTAGATGCTACCCACACCCATTGAATCAGAATTTTCTCATAAACCTGATTCCCAGGAGATTCAAATAAATCCTTGTATTGCTTCTTCTTACTTTTCCAGTTTTAGAGTTTTCTATTGGCTTCCCATAAAGAGAGATGAGAGTTTACCTTTTCAGTTTTCCACCCTCAGTCCCCTACAAGGCACATCTCCTGTTCATTCATCTTCCTAATAGATCCAGTTCACAATTTTGGCGAGATGTGCATTCAATGCAGCAATTTTTTGTGACTGCATAAATGTAACTCATAACCGAGCTACATATTCTCTGATTGATTTTTCTTTAGCTTTTTCTTTTCCCTAAAACGAATAACTCTAAATACTTCTGTTTTAAATTCTCTTGGTGATTATTACTCATTCAGTAACAAACCCTCAGCAAATTGCCTAAATCTCCTCTCAATTCTTGCACACACATCAAGTATTCTGTGAGCTGCTTGTTTCCTCTTGGAGCCTTTCATCTCTCGCCAGCTCACGGGTTGTCCACTCTACTTGGTGCTCATCCTAACTCAGAACTCCCTTCGTGACCACATTTGACATCCCCTTCGCTTCATTCTTGGCTTGTATTTCCTATTTCCAGTATTCTACATCATCTTCTTTCTTTGTTTAGTCCAGCTTTTTGAGGCAATGAATTCTCCGGTTAGCTGCTGAGAAAGAAGGGAGATGTATTAGCTGTGAATTTGCATGTTTCAAAAAGTCTTCAACCTAACTCTTAGTAAATTGATCCTCTGGCCATGTGCACATTTGTAGGTCGGAAATAATCTTCCCAGAGTCATAGATTCATTGTATTGTGACTTCCACCATCACAGGTGAGAAGCCTGAAGTTACTCTTGATCTTTTGGGTGTGACTCTGCTGGGGAAAAAATTGAAGGCAGAAGTAGAAGAGGGTGATAGAGTATGAGCTGGTCGGATGGCGTCTCCGATTCAATGGACGTGAACTTGGGCAAACTTCAGGAGTTAGTGAGGGACAGGGAGGCCTGGTGTGCTGCTGTCCATGGCGTCGCGAAGAGTCGGACATGACTGAGTGACTGAACAACTGCTTTTTCTCTCTGGAACCTTGCCTTTCCTTTGGCCTCAGCATTTTGAAATTTCACCACAATGTACTATTGTGTGTGGATCTATTTTTACCCATTAGGACAGGCTGCTGTGAACTTCTTTGATCGAGTAACTGATGTCTTGAATAATTTGGGGAGATTCTTTGCTGCCTTCCATTTTGTTTTGTTTTGTTTTCTTGGAACTCTATTTTTGGATGTTGGTCTTCCTCAGCTGGTTCTCTAGTGTTTTACCTTCTTCTCTCCATCATCCATCTCTTGGTCTTTTGCACTACTTAATAGGAGACTTTCTTAATTTTATCCTCCAGTTTTTCTGCCTTTGTATTTAAAGCTTCTAAGATCTTATTTTTTGTTTTCTGGGTGCTCCTTTTTATATCAAATGAGTTTGTTTTTATTTTGGTGGGGTTTTTTTGGAAGTTTTCTTCTTCCTAAATAGTCTCTGTCAACTTAAACTTACAATTTCACAATTTTAACTCACTTTATATCAATGGCCATACATGATGTTAGTGTCAGTTTTCTTTTTCTCTATATAGTAAACTGATTTCTTCAACATGTCTATCAAAGAATGCATCCTTACACCACTGATTTGTGGAACCATCTTTATTACTTATGTTTTGCCTCTGATTAACTAACTTAAGTGACCTCACATTCTTCTTAGATGCAGGGGCTGAACCTGCTTGTCTGCTGACGAGCCTTCTCTCCTTACCTGTAATTCGTGTTGCCCCTCCAACCATCAGCTTCCAGACCTCTGTCCAAAAATATCGCCTCCTCCATCAGCACTAAATAACACTGCCACTGTCCCTAACAGATCTGTCTCCCCAGAGACAACTAAGCAGAAAAAGACATCTCTGTTTTACAACATTCCTTGAGAAGAAAGAGTGACATCAAAATATTATTATGGTTGAAAATTCCACTTTGCTAGGAAATTACTAGTCAAGAAATTATACAACTTAAGTAGGAATTATGAAATTACACACACTCATTTCCCCAGGACCATCATATTTGATTCATAACTCAGTGCAGTCTGAAGAAATCTGGAGATGAATATCTCAGAATTCTATTCTGATGGCTGCCTGACTCTGGTGTTTCCATGTCAGTGAGCTGACTTTCCCTTCGGGATAATTGCCTAGCAGTAGTAGAGAGAAACCAATGAGTATATGACTTACTTAGCGCCTGAAATATCAAAGACTTCCCAGGTGACACAGTATTAAACAACCTGCCTGCCAGTGCAGGAGACAGTTTCCATCCCTAGGTCAGGAAGATCCCCTGGAGTAGGAAATGGCAAACTGCTCCAGTGTTCTTGCCTGGGAAATTCCACCTGGTGGGCTACAGTCCATGAGGTCACAAAGAGTCGGACATGACTGAGGGCTGAGCGCATGCACACACACACACACCAAAGGCACAACTTGTGGCAAAAGTCAATAGTGACAGCTTTGTGCCTGGAGGAGCACGTGGCCCTTGTTGCAGCCTGGGAACTGCAAACGTTTTAATAGAAGTGGTAGGTATTGATTTAAACATGACAAGAGTCTTACAAACAGACCAAATACTCAGGATGCCCTACAAGAGATAACTTTATTTAGAGATGAAAAAACTGAGACTCACAGAAGTCAAATACTCACGTAAGAGGAGCAAGGATTCAAGTTCCAATTTTACTCTGAAGCCCATTATTTTCCGCTACCACGACTCTCTTTTTCACTGTAACATTAATTCTGAAGTGAGGCACTCCCCTTCACTGAAGTCACCCTCTGGTTTTCTTGTGACTACATCATGTTCCCCTGGCAGGTCATTGTGCAGCGCTGCCTGTCGGGCAAGGACATGTCACATGTGAAGGCCGCCTGCATCATGTGTGGGTACCTGAAGCTGCTGCCCATGTTCCTCATGGTGATGCCAGGGATGATCAGCCGCATCCTGTTCACAGGTGAGTCTTGAATCCACAGATCCTTTTTTACTTTATTACATGTGAATTCTGAGTAGTGGTTTCAAGATAGATAAAAACTTTGATAAACTAGAAAATCCATTACATACGACAGTAAAAACAGAATCCCAAGTGGAGAGAACAGCCTGTGCAGAGGCTCAGAAGCAGGAAATCTTGGCACACTTCACATTCTGTTCTCTTATTTCTTTTGTACTGTACCCTGTCTCCTTGCAGACATTTGAGCTTGTGAGCCTGTTTTCATGAGTGGCGTGGATTTAAGCTAGTCTAGAGGATAATGCAGGAGGATGAGATAAACTGGAAAAATGTGAGCTGAGTGAGCTGTGATGGTTGAGTCCAAGACGTCTTTGACTGAGAATGTCATCAAGATTCACTGTCACTTCTTGGTCCTTCCAAGATGGTTAGAGACCGGACTGGGCTTTGGAATTGGGTTTTATGGGTACTTTAACTTCTGAGCCAGCTGAAAGTAGCTACTAATGTTGAAAATCTTCCTTAAAAAATCAACTTTTCCTTTATTATGACGGGTACAGGAAATATATTCAGCTAAGCAAGGCCTCTGGTTCTAATGGGGCAATCCATCAGATAACACTGAATCCACATCATATTTTCTCAACTGGGCACCAGTTTATTTAGCTAAAATATTGTTACAATGAAAATCACCTTTTTTCCCCCAAAATGATCCATTTTACTGTAAATAACTCCTTATAGGTATTCCTTGTGCTTCAGTTCCCACTCTTCCTTATTTTTTTGTCTTTATTTTTTTAATGATGTTTATTACAAGACTACTGTTTCCTTGGGGGTGTGGTGTCACATTAAAATGATTCCCCTACACAGCAAGTTAGAATGTTTCTTTGTTCTTCTTACTGCAACATTATAGTGCTGTTGAAAATATCCAACAACAACAAAAAAGAAAATATCCAACAAGTAAAGAATGGTCAAAGAACATACTATATCCCTCTTCATAGAAAATTGCACACAAGGGACTGAAGACTATCTCAAAAGTCAGGAAAATGCTGAAGTTATTATGTTAAATGTAAAAATCAGATTACAAAATATTACCTCAACAATTACCATAGCTATGCAAAAAAAAAAAAAAATATATATATATATATATATAGGTGGAAAAGGATTATAAAAGACTACTGAAAAAAACAAAAGAAGTTAAAGTGCTAAGGTATTAGCATTCTGGGTGGGGTTTTTGAAATCAAGTTTTGCTATCTGTTGTCATAATATTGTTTAAGGAAAGAAAAAAAAAGATATCGTGCAAATGCCACAGTGAAGTAAGATATCATCCTACATGGGGCAGTCACTCCAACAACCAGCACAGGTGATACTTCTTAGGTATAGGTGGTAAAACACTGGGCTAAGTGATCAGACAAGGGTAACATCTGGGTGTTGTGGTGGGGGTGGGGTGCTGGAGGTGGGAGTTAGGGTGGGGTTGGTTTTGTCTCTGGAGCTCCATGCTCCCCAGAGGAGCTGCACTCTTGCGGCTTTGTTGGAGGATGGAGCAGCTCCCTCTGTTTGCTGTCCTGCCATCACCCAGCCACATCCCAAAGAAGAGTCCTGCCCCTCAGGTCAATGCACAGGGAGCTATAGGCATGAGACACTTAGGAGGTCATATTCTGGGCAAAAAGGGAGCAGGTTCAGAGTGTGGAGTCCAAAACTGAATCTCTAATTTCCATGCATGAAAATTCCTCTCACCCATGATATTACAACTTGTCTCTATGTCCAATGGTTGTAGATCTTCCTGTTTGGCCCCACTCACTGAACCCACTTTTCTGAATCCGCCCCCCCCCCCAGAGAAGGTGGCCTGTGTTGTACCTTCGGAATGCGTGAAGCACTGTGGAGTTAAAGTCGGCTGCTCCAACTATGCTTACCCAATGCTGGTGATGGAACTGATGCCCAATGGTAAGAAAACATGCATGCTTGGATGACTGGATGGAGAAAATGTGATGCTCGGTAGAGACAGATGGGCGGATGAACAATAGACAGAGAGAGAGAGAGGTGTTGATAAGTGAACAGTATTCAGCTGTAGGGCTTCCCCAATGGATCAGTGGTAAAGAATCTGCCTGCAATACAGAAGACATGAGTTTACCCTAGGTTGGGAAGATCCCATGAAGGAAAACATGGCAACCCATTCCAGTGTTCTTGCCTGGAGAATCCTATGGACAGAGGAGCCTGGCAGACTACAGTCCATAGGGTCCCAAAGAGTCAGACGCCACTGAGCAACTGAGCATACATACATGCATTCAGCCTTAAAAAAAAAAAGAGAAGGCAATCCTGCCACTTGCAATAACATAGACAAAGGTAGAGGACATTATGCTGAGTGAAACAGTCAAGCACCTGAAGACAAATACTGCATGACATCACTTATATGTGGAATCTTAAAGAAATCAGACTCCTAGAAGCAGAGAGTGGAGGGTGATCATCAGGGGCAGTCATGGGGAGATGTTGGTCAAAGAGTATAAACTTTCTGTTATAAGATGAATAAGTTCTGGAGACCTAATGTATATATATTAACTATATATGTATATATGTTAACTATAGTTAATAATAATATACTACTAATATTTACTTAAAACTAAGAGAATAGATCTCAAGTATAATCATCACAAAACCAGAATATGGTAACCATGTGAGTGATGGACATGTTAATTAGCCTGACTGTGGTAACCATTTCACATCACGTTATACACGTTGCTACTGCTATTGATATGTATCAATCATACCTTGATAAATCGTTGTGCTGGGACTGCCTCAGAGGCCAGGTCTGTAGATGGGCCATGAGAAAGGGTTATGCCATAATCCTTAATCATTCTTACTTCCATTAATTCAGTTGTTTCCATCAAACCTCTCTTGAACACCTTCCATAGGCTACCAGCCCTGTTCTTGGCCTGGGGAATACAGAAATGAACCAGATATAATTCTTATTAGAAGAATTCTTACTCCTCTGAATTCAAAACTATCAAGGCAATCAAGGGCACTTAAGTGATTGATTTATCACTAAAAGAGTTTCATAGCAATAAACTTATAAGTTCAGAGGGCTAGAGGTTAAATATTCATTCTGCTTTCTTTACAGTAGTGGTATCCAAATAATATACCTCAATCTATTTAATTTGCAACTGTTTATTGAGTGCCTACTATGTACCAGACACCACTTTGTGCTCAGAAAACAACAGTGAAGCAGGCACAAAATCCCCTATTAAAATTCACATTCCAGTTTTGTGAGATAAAAAACAAACCACACATTATGTGAAATAAGTAAGTTATTAGGATACTAGATGGTAAGCAGGGTAAGGGGCTCAGTAGTGACCAGGTGATCCTGTACCTTAGACTCATCGAAGGTTGGCTAACACTTTTGTGACCTTTCTCCTCCCTGACCCACATGAGTATTGTCAAGCGGAAGGGAGCATGACCCACAAGTGACCCCATCTACCCTCTTTCACACTTTGGGAAGCCTACATGGCATCACTAGTAAGAAGAGGGAACTGAAGGATAAAGTTGCCACAATTTTTCAAAACTCTGCTTTGCCCACCAAAGATGTCTTCAAGAGAATCTCCCACTAGGCTTTTCCCTCTCCAGTTCCCTAACCTTCAAGAAGCCAAGAATTCCTCCCCAAAGAAAGGTGGCAGAACCCAGCTTCCTCTCTTTCAAATGGCCTCTAAGTTTATATTTACAACCAAAATTCTATGCTGGACTATTCTCAAGTCACCAGGAGATGTGCAGGAAGTGCCATATGATGATCCATGTTGATAGGCACACCAGTCAATGAATGTTCCAGATGACACTTCATCTTTGAACAACTCTCTGGTTTGGCAAGGCCCTCGTAGACCACGGTGTTCAGTTCCTAACTAGTGACTGCACCCTCTCCCGGCCCCAGGACTGCGAGGCCTGATGCTGTCGGTCATGCTGGCCTCTCTGATGAGCTCCCTGACCTCCATCTTCAACAGCGCCAGCGCCCTCTTCACCATTGATCTGTACACCAAGATCCGGAAGACAGCATCTGAGAAAGAGCTCCTCATAGCTGGACGGTGAGATACTCCTGGTTTCGTCTAAAATTTCTCTGCAAAAAGGCAGACATAGGGACTTCTCTGGTGGTCTAGTGGCTAAGACTCTGCACTCCCAATGCAGGGGGCCTGGGTTCAATCCTTGGTTGGGGAACTAAGACTGGGTGCAACCAAATAAATATTTTTAAAAAGAAAGAAAGAAAAAGGCAGATAAATGAACTAGAATCTCCTCAACTTTGGATTCAGGAAATTAACCGTAGCATTCTAGAGTAGGAGGAAGAGATCTTTACGCTCAGTTGCTAAGCTGTGTCTGACTCCTTTAAGACCCCATGGACTATAGCCCTCCAGGCTCCTCCGTGCATGGGATTTCCCAGGCAAGAATACTGGAGTCGGCTGCCATTTCCTCCTCCAGATGATCTTTCTGACCCAGGGATCTAACCCTTGTCTGCTGTGTCTCCTGCATTGGCAGACAGATTTGGAAGAGACATTAGAGGACATTTAATTCAACATCATCTTTATAGCTACAAAATTGGGGGCCATATTTTAAGTGAAATAGTTGCTTTGTCCAGACTTTCAACTGCCTCTGTTTCTTATTTCTTCCTCTCCTCACACCATCTCCCAACCACATCTTCATGATGCTCCTTCCATGTTTTTCTGGGCGTGTAAACTTCCCACTTACTCTGATAGACTAAATGCATTGTCTCTAGAAGCTTCCATGTGTATCTAAACCATCCACACACTACTACAGAGGAGTTTATCAACTACATTCATTAAGAAATGAGGTGTTAAGAGAAACTGACCACCTATCTAAACCATTATGCATTATTGAATACAGTTACAAATGCTTTAGTAAATTAAGCACCTGAGGGAAAAATTCCAAGGGCTCACTTGGTCCAGATCTTGACTCTGGACAAAGGACAGGAAGAAAAATAAGACATCTGTGCTTTTGTGGTGGGGACAGTGTTGGACTAGAATTCAGCAGGTCCCAAGAGGCAGTGGTCACACTAAGAGGTATGTAGTTTTAGGCATCATTCTACGTTAAGTCTCAATAGTCTACTAATGAGCTTTTCTTTCTATCTCTCTTATTAAATGTCTACTACATCTCAGAATACAAATATGAAAAAAGGACATATATGTGACAAGCAATTTCCTGCTTTGTGGGATTTATGCCTTTGTGAGGAATGTAAACAATAAATGTATGTTATACCTGACTCCCCGGGTGGCTCAGTGGTAAAGAATCTGCCTGCCAACGAAGGAGACGCAAGGGATGAGGGTTCGACCCCTGGGTCGGGAAGATCCCCTAGAGGAGGAAACGAAAACCACTCCGGGATTCTTGTCTGGGAAACCCCGAGGACAGAGGAGCCTGATGGGCTACGGTTCTTGAGAATGTAAAGAGTTGGACATGACTGAGCGTGTGTGCGCGCACGCACACACACACACACTCACACACATTCTATACCTGATAAAAAATGTTAGGTAGAAAAGCAAAACAGGGTTAAAGGCTGGTGGCTACTGAAGACAGGCGCTCAGGGAGTCCCCCCTTGAGGGTGTGACGTTTGAGCACAACCCTGAAGGAAGTCCAGGAGTGAGTCCCATGGCTCAGTGTGGACAGAAGAGTAAGTGCTGCGTGCTTGCAAGAGTCACGTGCGTGTCATGCGTGTGAGGACCAAGGGGCGGGGCTGGCACAGGAAGAGCAGCTGGAGGGAGACAGGAAACACAGTCAGAGGTAAAGGGAGGAGGGCACGCAGGTCCATTCACGTCATAGCAAGACTTTGGATTTCATTCCGCGTGTGTTAGAAATCAGTCAAAGATAAGAGCAAGGGAGGTATGTGGTTTGCTTTCCAATGAGGATAACAGCTGGGATGGTGGGTGTTATCTATTGAATCTATACTGTGTTCTGGGCATCATGCTCAGACTTGCCATGGTTTACCACATTTAGTTATTGCAAAGTTGCAGAGGTCTTGTCAAGATTACATGAGACACTGTGCCTCAGGTCTCCTGCCCAAATGCTTGCCCCTCTCGTCTCTCAGTCTTCAGGCCTCTGTTTCAGGTGAGCACGGAGCTGTGATGACCTTTTACAGAAAGTCCAGTGAACTAGGTTTGTTTGTTAACTTACACGACAAGCATAACTGAAGTTTAGAAACGTGAATCAGTCAGGATCCCTGGACCCCAGGAGCCTCTAGAAGGTTTTCACTTTTGTCAATATTTTAACCAATTTTTTCTACCTGTCAAAGTACTCAAGTAGTAAAACACACAAATTAGCATTTCTGGCCACTTCACTCAGCATATCTGTTTTAATTCCCACCTATACAGACTGACTTAGTTTCTCTCAAGCTAGGATTAAAGACCACCATGGGAGTCTGCTTTCTTTATCATGCAAATAATTGCTTCTTAATAGAAATAGTGTGTTGTAGTTTCAATTGATATATTGCATAAACCACAGTACAGATTAATCAATTGCTGACATTTGAATATTTAATCTCATTGTTGAAGATATTATGACTAATTATAGATAAGCAATTGCTTTATTAGAATTTTACTAACAGATAATCACTAGGCACAGTGTGGCTCCATGTGAGGTCAAGAAGCTTGATTTTATTTAGAAAATCAATGAATGGCCTCAAAATGAATTCAAAACATAATACAAGTACCAATAAGGCTTTTGTTTAATATTGAAATAATTCTATTTTCTTCCCAGGTTATTTATCATTCTTTTAATTGCCATCAGCATTGTGTGGGTCCCCTTAGTACAGGTTGCTCAAAATGGACAACTATTCCATTACATAGAATCTATTTCTAGCTACCTTGGGCCTCCAATTGCAGCTGTCTTCCTGCTTGCCATCTTCTGTAAAAGAGTCAACGAACAGGTAAGTGAAGATCGGGAAACTTCTCCCCTGCTGGAGTGAGAACAAGGTATTTCATTCACTGGTAGAAAAATGCTTTCTTCCCACTCTATTTATACATCTCAAGGCCCCTTTCAAGTTCAACTGTGGTCAGCTGCAATGCCTGATTCTAACTAAAGTGTATAGAAACATAGTGCACAGAGTACAGTCTTTTTATTTCTTACAAAATAGTATCTACATCCTCATCACAGAGCTGAGGAACACAAGGTCGGGAGTAAGACCACCAGGGTCCAATCCTGGCTCTACCACTGAATATCGTTGTGATCTTAATCAGACCATTTGACTCTCTGTAAAATTAAGACAATCACAGTGCCTACCTTAAAAGATTGATGTAAGAAATTTTAAAAGATTTTTAAAACATGAAGTACTTAGAAGAAAATCTACTACATTCATAAAGATTTAAAAAATGTTTATTTATGATGTATATAATTGATTATTGTGGACCTTGAACATTTAACTGCTTCTTTGTTCCCAGGTATTAGCCTTATTATTATAATTTTCAGATGAGGAACAGATGCTGAGAGATTAATATGTATGTTCTTTCCATATGTTACTTAACATTAGTAAGTGGAAACTTGAGATACAGACTAGGGTCTTCTTCCATCTAAAGCTCACAGCCTTAATCCCTATGCAATACTGTTTTTCCTAAACATAACATCTTGATCGGGCTTCCCTGGTGGCTCAGTGGAAAAGAATCCACCTGGAATGCAGGAGATGTGGGTTTGATCTCTGGGTTGGGAAGATCCTCTGGAGAACAAAATGGCAACCCACTCCAGTATTCTTGCTCGGGAAATCCCATGGACAGAGGAGCCTGGCGAGCTATAGTCCGTGGGGTTGCAAAAGGTTCAGACACAACTTAGCCACTAAACAACAACAAATTATTGATCAGGGAAACAGGGATACGTGTTTCTACTCCCACCAACTTCACAGATAAAATGAATGCTTTTAATTGTCAAAACCTTAATAAAGTTGTCAAACTAATATCAATTCTTTAAATTGTGTAACATAAGGCATAGTTATGTTTATTCTCCAAAATGTCACAAGTTTTAACATATACATATATATAAAGTCAAACACGGAGGAAACTTCAGTTTGTGTCAGCCTAGGCAGTAATGTCCTGAAGTTGGAGAACCAACAGTGGAATGATCTTTCAGAACCACAGACAGCAACAGCCCACTGGTAACAGGTATTTTCAGCTTTTCCCTGCTTTGATAACCTTGTGGTCAAGGTTAGCCTTTTGTTGGTCCTTAGTGGAGAAAACAGACAGGATGATAATTATGACTTTCTTGAATGAGTGTGTTGTCTTTTCTAAATACACAAATTTTACTCTTGTTTCTTTCTCAGGGAGCCTTCTGGGGTCTAATTGTTGGATTTGTGATTGGCCTCATCCGTATGGTCGCAGAGTTTGTCTATGGAACCGGGAGTTGTTTGGCCACCAGTAACTGCCCCCAAGTCATCTGTGGAGTGCACTATCTGTACTTTGCCCTCATTCTCTTTTTTGTTTCCATACTGATCATCCTGGGAATTTCCCTGTTAACAAAACCCATTCCTGATGTACATGTGAGTAATAAGTAATAGATATGCTCATTTTCAAAGGATTCTTTGCCTTTTAAAGCTTCAACTGGTGTATGAGTCCCATACAATGGGACCTGGAAATAAGGGTTTTAAACATATTGTTGATGATTTTTAATAACTACCAGAAAATAGAAATATTATTAAAACCATAAATAACTTTGTTTTTTTAAATGCAGAAATAATTTTAAATGATAAATGTTTTTGTGGGTGAGAGTGATAGAAGAGCTCTTCTTTGTTGTCTGTACTTTTCTGTGCTGTTTGATTTTTTTGCACTATACAATAAACAAATGTATCATTGCCTTATTGTAAACACTTGCTATCACTAATATGTTTGTCTCTGGTCTCTGGTTAGCTATATCGCCTGTGCTGGGCTCTTCGGAATAGTACAGAGGAACGAATTGATTTAGATGCAGAAGAGGAAAGACATGAAGAAGCTGATGATGATGCTGATAATGGTAATACCTGGTTTACATTTGGTTTTCTCATAGAAACTCTATGTAACTGTCTTTGTTTCTTTTTTTTTTAATGCCATGAAATTCAGCTTTGGAAAAAGCTCTTAGGTTTATGGCAAACTTAGACTTTAAAATCTTACCTTCCCAACAACCAAGACAATTTGCTACATGTGAAATCCGTCCCTTCATCCACTTGTCTGTCAATCTGTCTGTCCATCCATCCACCATCTATCCATGTGTGCCAGGAATTCCTGTAACACTTAGCGGCTATAATCATCCTTTACAAGCACCTGTACTACACTGACAGGATTTTTATTTCCCGTGTTCTGTGATCATTTATTTCTTCATTTCAGATAATCCTGAGGAAACTCGTGGATGTCTCAGGAAGGCTTATGACTTGTTCTGCGGTTTGCAGAACAAAGGCCCCAAACTGAGCAAAGAGGAGGAAGAAGCCCAGAAGAAGAAGCTGACAGACACGTCTGAGAAGCCCTTATGGAGGACAGTAGTGAACATCAATGCCATCATCCTCCTGGCAGTGGCAGTCTTTGTTCATGGCTATTTTGCCTAAACTCTGTCTGAGCTACTAGAGTATTTATTAAGCAAAGGATAATTTTATTGATTTTTCACTTGTATAACTTTTTTGTGTTGCAAAGGCAGATAAGCATTTTATTGAATGAGATGACCATACACCTGGATTTTAGCTTTTGTTGTTCTTTTGTGTCAATAAAGAGAAAGAAAGAGTTGATAATTTAGAAAGTCAGTGAGTTGACTCAAGGTGTACATAAACCAGAAGCACTGGGTCTAACTTTTTTTTTATAGCTCAACAGGCAGATTGCCCTAACTTACATTCACTTTCTGCAATTTCCAGAGGTTTCCACTTAGAAGGAATGCCTCTCCCAACTCTGCCTCACATAGTAACCTCTTCATCTATCAAAGTGAACTTCTTCTGTCTTCCCTTCATTGCTCTCAAAGATTTGGAAAGTAGAAATATTTCCTAAAGGTTAAGAGGAGATGAGTTGAAAATACCAGCTGTAAATATATTTGTGAATTTACTGGATATTAGTAGCTTATATCTAAATAAAGTCACCCCCGACTAAATATTAGCATATCAAGCTTTTGATTTTTAGACTTCTTCTTTATTTTAATTTGGCCATAGCCTTGTGGCTATAGGATCTTAGTTCCTCAACCAGGGATTAAACTTGGGCCCTGGCTGTGAAAGCACTGAGTCCCAGCCACTGAACCACCAGAGAATTTGCATGATTTTTAGACTACTTTTTTAAATAGTTTGATTCTATTTTTATAGATTTCTCGGCTAGTTTTTAAAAATAGTTCACACAACTCATCTATTTAAAGTGTACAATTAAGTTTATTTCAGAATAGTCAGAGTTGTGCAATAATTACCAAATCTAATTTTCTATATTAACATTAATTCTTTATTTACTTTGTTACCAGAATATGTCTTTCTCTGTATTTATTTTATTTTGACATTGTGTGTTGTTCTGTGACTGACTTTTCCATATAAAATTTATCTTGGAGCTCTCCACCTATTAGTACATACAGATATCCCTCATTCTTTTTAGTAGCATATTATTCCATAAAATCATTTACCATAATTTGACCATTTTTCTACTGAGAAACATTCACATTTGTTTCAATTACTTGGTATTATCTACAATATTTGACTAATATGTGCATGCTAAGTCACTTCAGTTGTGTTCAACTCTTTGTGACCCCATGGACTGTAGCCTTCCAGGCTCCTTTGTCCATGGAACTTTTCAGGCAAGAATATTGGAGTGGGTTGGCATTTCCTCCTCCAGGGGGTCTTTCCCCCTTGGCAACCATAAGATTGTATTCTACATCTGTTTCTGTTTGTAAATAAGTTCATTTGTACCATTTTTTGATTCCACGTATAAGCAATATCACATGATATTTGTTTCTTTCTGGCTTACTTCACTCAATATGACAATCTCTAGGTCCATCCAGGTCAGTGCAAATGGCATCATTTTGTTTTTATTGGTGAGTAATATTCCACTGTATACATGTACCACATCTTCTTTATCCTTTCATCCAATGATGGATATTTAGGTTGTCTCCTTGCCCTGGCTATTGTAAATAGTGCTGCAATGAACAATGGGTTGTATATATCTTTTCAAATTACGGTTTTCTCTGGAGTGGGATGCCCAGGAGTGGGATTGCTGGATCATATGGTAGCTCTATTTTTGGATTTTTGAGGAACCTTCATACTGTTCTCCATACTTGCTGTACCAGTTGACATTTCCATCAACAGTGTAGATAGGTTCCTTTTTCTCCACACCCTCTCCAGTATTTACTGATTGTAGATTTTTTGATGATGGCCATTCTGACTGGTGTGAGGTGATACCTCATTGTAGTTTTGATTTGCATTTCCCTAAGAATTAGTGATGTTGAGCATCTTTTCCTGTGCTTTTGGCCACCCGAATGTCTCCTTTGGAGAAATATCTATTTAGATCTCCCACCCATTTTTTGGTCAGCTTGTTTGATATTGAGCTGCATGAGCTGTTTGTATATTTTGTTCATTGTTAAATGGTGTACAAGTCCATTTGTTTAGTGACTGTCCCAGACTATAGTGGCAATGCCCATATTCTTTATTGATGTGGCTACGGAAGTCTTTGTTCCTTAGCTTCTGTTCAATTGTTTTGATAGAGATTTCCTTGAATTCCAGGAAGTCTCCCAGTTTTCCAAACTGACTGTTCTGAGGCCCTTCTTCAGCTCCTAACCAGGCTTGCACTGGATCTGATCAAGGTGAAAGCTTAGGGTCTTCTCAGCCCTTTTCTAATCATGTGGCTTACACTGGTCTTTCTAAATATGGCTTTCTAAATTCCCCAGTATATATAGTTGCTTTGGATGTCTTCATTTCCCAATGACATTTCCCCGAGATTTTGCCTTAAGCAGCCTATGCTATGCTTTTTATTTTTAGGCCATGCTGCATGGCACGTGTGATCTTAGTTCCCAGACCAGGGATGGAACCCACATCCCCTGCCTTGGAAGCACGGAGTCTTAACCACTGGACCACCAGGGAACTCCCTATTGTATGTTTTGATACAACAGGCGTCTGCGGCTTGCAGTTTGGCTTGCAGTGTTTTCAAGCTTCCTCACTCGAGTTCAGTTAGGTGAGACAGAGTGCCACCTAGTGTCAGTCATCCAGGTAGCCAGCCAGGGAGCAAGGAACAGGCTTACACAGTCATTGGTGAACACGGTCTGCTCCGCCCTCTCTGGACCTAGGGAAGCGGCTCCACGCTGGGGGCATGGGCTACACCTGCCCTAAGACTGGTGCCACTCATGGCAGGTGCTACTTCAAGACTGCCAGCACGCAGAGAGAGAGGGTGAGGGGAAGGAGTAAGAGTGCCACAAAACCTGCCAACCATTTGGTAGTGACTTTTTCTTGCTTCCATGCTTGTTTGTTCGCTATCAACTTCTATAAACCATTTTCTAGAATTCTCACAAAATTAGTTCTGACAGTTTCTGTTCAATTTTCAATGTTTCTATTGGAGAATGAGAGTATGGAGTGGCCTCCTCCACCATGTTGAGGACATCACCATTTTTTTTGATGTTTATTTATTTATGACTGTGCTGAGTCTTCACTGCTTTGTGGGCTTTTCTCTGGTTGCACCAAGTGGGTGCTACTCTCTAGTGGGCTTCTCACTGCGGTAGCCTCTCTTGTTGTGGAGCACAAGTTCTGGGGCGCTTGCCCTTCAGTTAATTGCAGCATGTGGGCTCAATAGTGGGCTCCCCGGCTCTGGAGCACAGGCTCAGTAGTTGTGGCTTAGTTGATCTGCGGCTTGTGCTTGTGGGATCTTCCCAGATCAGAGATCGAACCTATGTTTCCTGCATTGGCAGGCAGATTCTCTACCACTGAGCCACCAGGAAAGCCCTAGACATCACTATTTTTCAGTTCAGTTCAGTTCAGTCGCTCAGTCGTGTCCGACTCTTTGCGACCCCATGAATCGCAGCACACCAGGCCTCCCTGTTCATCACCAACTCCCGAAGTTTACTCAAACTCATGTCCCATCGAGTCAGTGATGCCATCCAGCCATCTCATCCTCTGTCATCCCCTTCTCCTCCTGCCCCCATCCCTCCCAGCATCAGGCTCTTTTCCAATGAGTCAACTCTTTGCATCAGGTGGCCAAAGTATTGGAGTTTCAGCTTCAACATCAGTCCTTCCAATGAACACCCAGGACTGATCTCCTTCAGGATGGACGGGTTGGATCTCCTTGCAGTCCAAGGGATTCTCAAGAGTCTTCACCAACACCACTGTTCAAAAGCATCAATTCTTCAGCGCTCAGCTTTCTTCACAGTCCAACTCTTACATCCATACATGACCACTGAAAAACCATAGCCTTGACTAGACAGACCTTTGATGGCAAAGTAATGTCTCTGCTTTTTAATATGCTATCTATGTTGGTCATAACTTTCCTTCCAAGGAGTAAGCGTCTTTTAATTTCATGGCTACAAGCACCATCTGCAGTGATTTTGGATCCCCAAAAAATAAAGTCTGACATTGTTTCCACTGTTTCCCCATATCTATTTCCCATGAATTGATGGGACCAGATGCCATGATCTTAGTTTTCTGAATGTCCAGTTTTAAGCCAACTTTTTCACTCTCCTCTTTCACTTTCATCAAGAGGCTCTTTAGTTCCTCTTCACTTTCTGCCATAAAGGTGGTGTCATCTGCATATCTGAGGTTATTGATATTTCTCCCGGCAATCTTGATTCCAGCTTGTGCTTCTTCCAGCCCAGCATTTCTCATGATGTACTCTGCATATAAGTTAAATAGTCAGGGTGACAATACTTTTCGGGTGATGTACTCCTTTTCCTATTTGGAACCAGTCTGTTGTTCCATGTCCAGGTCTAACTGTTGCTTCCTGCCCTTCATGGGTTTCTCAAGAGGCAGGTCAGGTGGTCTGGTGTTCCCATCTCTTTCAGAATTTTCCACAATTTATTGTAATCTACACAGTCAAAGGCTTTGGCATAGTCAATAAAGCAGAAATAGATGTTTTTCTGGAACTCTCTTTATTTTTATTGAATTTATTTTATTTTCTAAACTTTATTACCTGGTGGGGGGGCGCGGGGTGCCACACCAAATGGCATGTAGGATCTTAGTTCCCGTGGCCCCTGCAGTCACCGTCTGGGGCACTAGGGAATTAGACCTAACCAAATGAATAAGTGGGAGAAGAGAACACAATTAAGCCTACAACACAGGTGAAGTCAGTTCTGCATCTTATGGATTTCCAAGTCATAGTTTCCTGCGGGAACAATGATCTGAAGTGGATGTCAGGCAGCAAAAGGAAATAGAATTCCAAACTGAACGCATAGGGCCTGAGGGTGGGAGAAGGCAGGAGGGGCAGGGCCTCTGGCTGGCAGGATCACAGAGGTTTTCAACCAAGAGTGAAAGAGAAAGCATCTGGAGCTCCCAGGACTACAGCACCGTGACTCCTGGACTACCAGAAGGCACAAGCCAAGCATCAGAATTCTAATTTGAATTTTTTCAGTCTGAAATATCTAATGTTTATTTTGGCCTTTGAGTGTGATTTAGGAATGCAGGTCCATACAGGGACCAGCTTCTCTCCAGCTGGGTGTGCCCTAGAACCAGACAGCATCGTTACCTGTGTCCTAGGAGTCTTGGAAGAGCCGTCATAGAAGAGCAGAAGCTAATGTGACAGAAAAAAACTGACTGAGTCACGGATGCAATGTGAAGCTCAGGGACTGAATAACACTCACCTGAATCCTCCAGAGCCAGTCAAGCAATCCTGCCCCGTTAACCCACCCACACCACCTTAATTCCATCCCCACCAACCCGTCAAGGCAATAGCACCTCATTCGAAACCTTGGTTCACCGAAATGCAGTTTGGAGGTTAGAAGGAGTATTCTTGGGACGGGGTTGGGGGTAATGTTAAAAAAAAAAATCTGTCTCCTCCAGCTAAGCACACATGTGTTTTTCTTCCAAGGTTTGCTTTTGTGAAGCGGAACAAGCTGTAGCAGATCTTTCAGGAAATGGTGATTTCAGTACTAGTGAAAAGTGAGAGCTCTAATGAGTTTCAAAGGGAGAGACTTGACTGAGAGTAGCGCTGACACATACACGCGACCCCGTGGAACATAGCTGGCTCGTGGGAAGCTGCTGTATAGCTCAAGGAGCTCGTGCGGAGCCCTGTGATGACCGCGAGGGGCGGGATGGGTTGGGTGGGAGGGAAGCTCAAGAGGGAGGGGACGCATGAACACTCCTGGCGGAGTCACTCTGCTGTGCAGCAGACACTAACACAGCATTGTAAAGCGATTACACTCCAATTTTTAAAGTAGTTTTTTTTAAGGTAGAATTTTTTCCATGTAAACACCAATGCCTGACTCAATTGTACAGAAGAAAGAAATGCTACGAGGTCTGTCAAAGGCCCGAGAACCAACATCATTCTGCACAGAAGGAGCTTTGTCTTCTCATTTTGAGAGATTCCTTTTAAAATGGCCCTCCATATGTTCAGTTCAGTTCAGTCGCTCAGTCATGTCCGACTCTGCACCCCCATGGACTGCAGCACGCCAGGCTTCCCTGTCCATCACCAACCCCCGGAGTTTACTCAAACTGATGCCCATTGAGTTGGTGATGCCATCCAACCACCTCATCCTCTGTTGTCCCCTTCTCCTCCCACCTTCAATCTTTCCTAGCATCAGGGTCTTTTCAAATGAGTCAGTTCTTTGCATCAGGTGGACAAAGTATTGGAGTTTCAGCTTCAGCATCAGTCCACATGTAAAGAAGTTCCATATGTAAAGAAGATTTTTTCCTGACAGGGTATGGTTTTTCAGTTCTATAAACTAACATTAATGAGCAATAACTCTGCACCACAGCACATGCCTCGCATCTGAGGAAAGAAACAGCTCTTTCTTGCATCCCTGACATCTTTCTAGTACAATTAATCAGTTACTGGGCCCTGGTTACCAAAGTGGTTCTCATGGAACACTGTGCATTGAAGGTAGAGTTACTCACCTCGTTTTTACTGAGGTTTTGAAGTTGAAATCCTCTCCAAACTTTGCTACATGTAGTTAACTTGTTCAAGTTGCTAGGTTCTATTAACTTTCCTGGCTTCTGCTTCCTAATCCATATCTCATGCCAACTAATTCTCACCACAGACATGGTCAGTATTTGTCTAGAATGGCTAGAAAACAGGAAATCAAGACGTCATGGCTTTTCAGTATTTTTATTTTTTTTTTTACCAAAGTAATAAATTTTAATGAAAAGGACTAAATGCAGTTTAATATAACATCTGTTGGCATTCTTCATGTATGTAAGAAAGATGCCATCCTCTTTTCACTCATCCACTTTTCAAAGTGACCTTGTCACACCTAGAGGAGGTAGGTATATGCTATAAGTACCAAGGTCCTCATTTTTTCAAAAAGAAAAATACACAGTTGAGACAAAAAATAATTTACCACAATATACACAGTGAATCATTGGCAAGGTCAGAAACAGAATCTAGGACATCTAGATACTGAATGCCTGCTCAATCCGCCAGCTTTCAGTCATCATTCTTTATCTTCTCTGAGCTCAAAAATTTCACAAACTCCTCACAAAGCTGAGTACTCTGAGCAATACTAGCCATGTGAAATTTTCCACTCTTCCCTCTTCTCTGCCTGGCTTAAGGGGAATATGAGGGCACATCAAATATTTTCATTTCCTTTCATAAGAACAAGCCATTCTTTACCTGTTGAACCATTTTTAAACCCCAGGAACTACTACCTCAGATCCCACCTATTTGCTAAGCTAGTCTCAAATCAGTCAATACAAACAACATGACTTCCACAGAATTATATTACAAAATGATTAGATTTCACAGGTGGAACTAAAAGGATTAATCAAATTTAAATTTAATTTTTAAAATTTCTCCTTAGGAAAGAGGTACAACAGGAAATGAATATGTTGAACAAAATACCACCTGGAACAGAGACCACCCACTCTAACCTTGTTCAACGGATGATCACCAATCAAGACACATAAGGGAAAAGAGCTGTGGCCGCCTGAACTCACAGGGAGGAGGATCTTGGGCTAAAAGTGTCAGTGTTTTAGGAGAGTGCAGCCGCTCTGAGATGACAAGTGCCGCCAGAGGCATGTTTGCTCATTATGTGACACAGAGTCAATTACTAAGCCCCCACAGAATCAGTTACATCAGCACCACGAGGAAGCGGAGCCTCTGGAAAAGGCACCCCGATTCATTATAGTCACCAGAGAGTGTACTCGGTGCAGCCATAAGGTTAACCAAAAAGAAAAGGGAAGTCACTCAGTCGTGTCCAACTCTTTGTAACCCCATGGACTGTAGCCCGCCAGGCTCCTCCGTCCATAGGATTCTCCAGCCAAGAATACTGGAGTGGGTTGCCATTTCCTTCTCCAGGGGATCTTCCCGACCCAGGGATCAAACCCAGGTCTCCTGAACTGCAGGCAGACTCTTTGTCATCTAAGCCACCAGGGAAGCCCAAAAAGAAAATAAGCATTTATTAACAAATACACATGTCATCCTTTCAGTCCACAAACATTACTGAGTGGCTAAGATAGTCCAGGCACAGGAAATGCCAAAACAAATGAAATCTCAAACACAAGGAACTGACAATGAACATTTTCAAGAAAGCCAGAAAACCCCCTTGACTCAAGATTATCTGCTTTCCCCTCTGGCCCAAGGCTGGTGCCTGGATCCCTTTTATTGGCACTGGTACTGCCATGTCCAGGCCTCTCCTTCAAAGAGCAAACACCCAGGACACAGACCCCATCAAGCTTCCATCCTCAGGTTCAATGTGTTCATCAATTTATCAGATTGATTTTTCTTGTGCCAGGAAAACTTGACAAGGATTTCATGAGGTAGGGTGATGCTTCTTTCAAAAAAAAAAAATGAGGGGAGAGGTTAGATAGAGAAAGTGGTAGTAATCAGGGGACCACAACTCTTTAAGCAATATTTAAGGATCACAAACAATGTTAACACACTGAATCTACCTGAGAAAAACTTGCATCAGACATCACGGGGCTTCTGTATCTTAGTCTGCTTTTTCCTAGTCACTGGACTGAGGGGAATTTCCTTCTGCAGCTCTGATACGTACAGATGACTGTACCACACTGGCCTCAAATATATAAGTTAACAGCAAATCAGTGATTTTTCTCCAGCTAGCCTGTAATTACAAATGTACACATTTATTGACAGGGCAGTTTACAACTGGCTGTTGTCCCTTTAACACCACTGAATGGGACCAAAGAGAAACAGAGTGAAGACTCCAGCCTCCACAAGCACAGCCTGCAGCAGAAAGCAGGACTCAGGCAAAGTAGGCATGGCAGAAGACAGCCACGGCCAACAGAATGATGCCATTGATGTTCACTACCATCCGCCACAAACGGTTCTCCGAGGTGTCTGTCATCTTCAGCTTCATGGCTGCCTCCTCTTCCTTCGTCATTTTGGGGCCTTTCTGCTGGTCCAGGCCACAGAACAGGTCATAGGCCCGCCTGAAGCATCCTTTTTTCTCCTCAGAAGCTTCTGTGTCTGGGGAAAGGAATAAAAGGACTGTTGGATACAGAAGCAGGAGGCACTAGAAAAGATTTCCAGAGGAGATATCAGGTCATGATACATCTGCCACTTTGAACACAGCTCCCAATTTTCTTGTTTGCAGGAATAAAAATGGTACAAATTAGTGTTTGGATAAATGTAATTAATTATAAGATGCTGTTAATAGTTGGAGTCTATATAATATACTGTGGTGGTATATTTTACCTCTGTTGGGCCCAAAGGAAATACATTTTGATTTAGGACACTCAGAATCAAACAAGAAATAATAGCTTATGAGAGAGAAATGTTAACCATTGACTGGGGGACTGTGACATGTGAAGAATGTGGAAAACCCACCTCTCAACCAGAGAAACCCATATCTGTTTGCTACATCGCTGAAAGCAATGAGTTTGGCATGACTCAAGAGTGTATTGACTGCACCTGGAAATCCAAGGCTCCACAACAGATCCAGCCATGTGGCAAGGATTGGTCTTTTCAGTCCCTGATCCAGGGCAGCAAGTGATCAACAAGTAAGCAGCAATGAGCAAGTGAGCAGCAAGTGAGCTTAAGATCTGATACTGCTGAGTCAAACCATTCAACTGACCTTGACACTAAAAGTGGATGCCCACCAAGGGAACTAATGCTGTGCTCTGAGCCCAGGTGTGGCATTAAAGGTGAGCAGACCTGGGTTAGAATCCCAGGTTTGTGACTCACTAAATATGAAATCAAGCGCACTGTTTTCAGCACCATGGTCAGAGACCACTCCCCTCTCCAGCCCAGGACCAGTAAATCACACATGACCTTGTGCTCCCACACCTCTGCACACCACACATCACCACGACCAACCTCCATGTGTGCACCCCTCCCATGTAGGGAGAAAGAGCTCCGACACAGAAATTGAGGAAGACACTGCTCCATGATCAGGATAAGTCGCTAAGCATTGACTAAGCAGTATCTTAGAGCTCTGAAGAATTGATGCTTTAGAATGATGGTGCCAGAGAAGACTCTTGAGAGTCCCTTGGACAGCAAGGAGATCAAATCAGTCAACCCTAAACAAAATCAACCCTGAATATTCATTGGAAGGACTGGTGCTGAAGCTGAAACTCCAATACTTTGGCCACCTGATATGAAGAGCTGATTTATTGGAAAGACCCTGATGCTGGAGAAGATTGAAGGCAAAAAGAGAAGAGGGTGGCAGATGATGAAATGATTGGATGGCATCACCAACTCAATGGACGTGAGTTTGAGCAAACTCCAGGAGAAAGTGAGGGCAGGGAAGAATTGTGGGCTGCAGTCTATGGGGTCACAAAGAATCAGAAACCACTTAGTGACTGAACAACAAATAACAACAAGCATTATCTTAGTGGACTTGCAGGGAAATCTGATATTTTAAACATGATATGGTAAGCCAGCAAGACACAAAACACTAAGAGTCTCCATCTCATCCCCCCTGATATCACTAGAACTGACCATAGCTTTGGTTCCAACTACTTTCAGTTTATAGGCTAGTGTCTTCCCTGTCCCTAGCCAAGCCCAAAACCAAGTCAGGGTGGTGAATATCTCACCTGTGCTTACTCACTGAGCACTGTAAACCAAGAAGGGGGACGATTCTGCATCCTCCTCCTCCCCTTGACAAGGCCTTGAGTGAACTGCTCAAAGCCCATTTATCCATCTCACCCCATACTCCGCTCCTCACTCCCCTCCAGAAGAGAGATCTGAGCTTTGAAGGCACTTGGTGAAGGCTTCAGTAAGGTGGTCTTGTAGTTGGAGGAGTAACTTGGGAATAGGCTCTGAGCCACAAATCACCTATTTCTAAGGCATCCTCCCGGGCATCTTGAATGTCCTCGTCTTCTGCATCCAGATCAATACGCTCCTCTTTGCTGTTACGCAGGCTCCAGCACAAGCGGTAGAGCTGTGGAGAAAGCAGAACAGGTTAGCAGGAAGATCCAAGTAGTGTCCTGGGCCAAGAAGTTGGGAGAACAAAGAGATGTGTGTCGAGAAGGGAAAAGGAATGTGGCTCTCAACTCCATCAACAACACAGATGACAGTTCCCATCCACAGCACTATCTCTGAATATGTTGGGAACGTGGATATAAATCATATACATGCACATACCATCCCCTAGGATATGAGCATATTCAGAGGCTAAGAGATTGTCATGAGCATAGAAATGTTTTGAATGAATGATCTCTTGTTACATATGATAAATGAATTTGTTCCTTTTAGCACTCATGCTAGGAAACAAGGCCAGGCACCCATTTATCCAGAGAGCAGTGTAAGTAAGATCAGATTTTTGTACCATATTAATCGTAGACTCACGAGCCAGTTAGAATAGGAAGAGCTGGAGGTATACTTTCTATGGACATGAAACCAGAAACTACTTTATTTCAAGAAGCATGGAACTAAATGAGTTTGGGGCTACAATACTTTGAAAAACTGAGGCATCAAGAAGCAATTAATACAACATAAACAGAGTCTGTGACAGAGTTGGCCAATAACCATGATGGCAGTTCTACTGCTATAAAAGCAATCTTTGTTTGACATTAAGGTTGGTCACAGTTTTGAAAATTTGGCGGTGAGGTTAAAGGTCTGTTAGGGATTCCTATTTTTGTGTATGCATGAGAAAGGGACCAACAAAAGCCTTTCCCTTTCTCTTTCTCTTCAGACAAAAGTGATCTTGGGTTAACTCTCTAACTCTGTTCACTGGAAACCTGAAAAGGGTAGAATGCTAGCTGTGCTGGGTTACCAGACTACACTGCTTATGGTAAAAAGTGACCCACAATTGGTCATCTTCATCTGCATTGGGAGGGCTGTGAACATTCCCTAAACCAAGGGCAACATTTAGAGCTAAAGAAGAGTACCTGTCATCTTTGAAGTCTTGAATCAATTAGACTTTGATACCATTTGAAATTTCTTAAATTTCATGGGCAACTGTTTGGAGGCTTCATTGGGAAAAAAAAAAATAAAGGGTATACCATGCTTCAGATTTCCCTCAGTGTGGTGACTTTTACAACGAGGTATGTCCCTTGCTGGGACCTATGGAAGCCATGACCTAGAGACTATTACAAGAAACATGCATTCCTATCTGGGACATAGGCATCCAGGCTGGGGTAACCCTGTGTCTGCCCACGTGATCTCACGGCCTCGTTCCCGAGTCGGCACCCAGCAGCAGGACCCAGAGAAGCAGTCCCTTGGACGGAAACGTGACCTGCTGCTCTGCTGACAAACCATGCTTCCGGGCCTGTCCTTCTGCACATGCTCAGTTGCTAAGTCATGTCCGACTCCCTGCAGCACCATGGACTGTAGCCCATCCGACTCCTCTGTCCATACAATTTCCCAGGCAATAATACTGGAGTGGGTTGCTATTTCCTCCTCTGGGGCATCTTCCTGACACAGGGATCGGACCCAGGTCTCCTGCATTGCAACTGGATTCTTTACCACTGAGCCATCTGGGAAGCCCAGGTGTCCTTTTACATGACACCAAAGACAAGGACAGCCTATTTCAGTCATGAACATAAGAGACCTCTAACTGAGCCAAAGCAGTCAAGTCGAGTGCTGCAGCATGAACATGAAACCAGCGTGGGACAGTCTTCTACCCGGACACTCACATGCACATCTGCAATGGGCTTGGTGAAGAGGGAGACGGCCAGGATGATGATGATGGTAATGACAAAGAGGATGATGGCAAAATACAAGTAGTGGACACCACAGATAATCGTGGGACAGTTGCTGGGCTCCATGCAGCTCCCGGTTCCATAGGCAAACTCGGTAATCATACGGGACACCCCGATCAAAAATCCTATGATCAATCCCCAAAAGGCTCCCTGTGAAAGAAAAGCCTGGTTAATGAACACTGTATTTGGGAAACAGCTGTGCATTCACTGGGGGACAGAGACAAAAGAATAACAGTGAGAGAAATACGAGCTCCAGGCCATCTGAAACAGGAACACTGGAGTTGAGAACATGACTAGGAACGTTACGTCAGGCCTTCGATGGCTCCATTTACCACCTTTTAGTAACTCGACTTGGTGTTCGCGTGTGCTTAGTTGCCCAGTCATGTCCAGTCAACTCTTTTGTGACCCCATGGACCTGCAAGGCTCCTCTGTCCATGGGATTTTCCAGGCAAGGGTACTGGATTGGGTTGCCATTTCCTCCTCCAGGGGATCTTCCCAATGGAGGGATTGGACCCGTGTCTCCTACATCTTCTGCACTGGCAGGTATATTCTTTGCCACTGAGCTACCTGGGAAGCCCTTGGTTAGAAGAGCACCCAAGTTCTCAGTGCCAAAAAAAATCCCTTTAACTTTAAAAATACTTTGAATTTCTCTACCTGCAGCTGCTATTACCATCAGACTCCAGATTTAGGTACATTCAGTTATAACACAATTACTTGTGAGCTAATCTGTATTCCTTGAAGACATGGGAAAGAAACTGGGTCTCTTAGAGGAAGAGGAGAAAGGAACTCTTCTACCAGCCCCTGTTATAGATCCAAAGTCCCCTCACCCTTATCCCTATCTGGCTGGAGTATCACTTTTTGGTCCTTCACTGGGCCCTGAGAAGTGCTGGCTGGAAAACCTAGCCCCCTGGAGAACCCAGGAGGTAGGCTGTGCTAGCGCTTCCTATGGAGCTGTTCGCCCAGAGGCCACAAGCTTCCCAGAGAGTGCCACACAGTCAGAATCACCCAGAGTAGATGGAAAACACACATCATTACTTGGGAATTAATTTAGAACCTGCATCAAGGAGGAGAGTCCCAAGGTCCCTGGAGGATTTTCCATATAAATCCTCACCAGCACCTTCATTCCTGCTCAAGATATCTGGAAGTAGAATTCCTCCCAGAGAATATACAAATCCAGATGGGAATTTCTGTGCCCGAATTACTTTTCTAAACATTCATGATACCTACCGGCTCATTGACTCTCTTGCAGAAAATAGCAAGCAGGAAGACTGCTGCGATGGGTGGTCCCAAGTAACTGGTGATGGACTGGATGTAGTCGAAGAGCTGTCCGCCTTGTGCTGACTGCACGATGGGCACCCAGGCGATGCTGACACCGATCAGCACCAGCATGAACAACCTGAAATTAAGCCCCACAACAGGGTGTCAACAAATGGCTCCACTGGAATAGTTATAGATAGATAGATAGATAGAGAAACTACCTGCAATACAGGAGACTCAGGTTCAATCCCTAGATCATGAAGATCCCCTGGAGAAGGAAATGGCAACACTCTCCAGTACTCTTGCCTGGGAAACCCCACATACAGAGGAGCCTGGAGGGCTATATTCCATAGGGTCACAAAGAGTCAGACGTGACTGAGCTACTGAATAACAGCAACAGTAGAGATAGATAGATAGAAAGGTTTATATGACCAGAGCAGGGAAAAATAATTAGCAAATTCACTGAGACCCTTTTCTTCTGTATTCTGCTTCTTCAGAGGTTTCCTTTGTGGCTCAGACAGTAAAGAATCCACCTGCACTGTGGGAAACGTGGGTTCGATCCCTGGGTTGGGAAGATCCCCTGAAGGAGGGCATGGCAACTCACTCCAGTATTCTTGCCTGGAGAATCCCCAAGGACAGAGGAGCCTGGTGGGCTACAGTCCATGGGGTCACAAAGAGTTGGACATGACTGAGCAACTAAGCACATAGCACTGCTCTTTCAGGAAAATCTTCTTTGCCTATAAGTAAAATGCACTTGATTTTCGACAGTAAAGTAGACCTACTAACCACCAGGAAAGAATCCACTTTGAGAGGCAGTGGTGTTTGGGAACAAAGGTGAGGACTTTGGAACCAGTCTCCTTTTTTTTTTTTTTTTTGGCCATGCCTCATAACTTATGGGATCTCAGTTTCCCAGCCAGGGATTGAACTTGCACCCTTGGCAGTGACAACACAGAATCCTAACCACATGACCACCCAGGAGTTCTCTGAAAGTTAAAGTGAAGTCGATCAGTTGTCTCCGACTCTTTGCGACCCTATGAACTGTAGCCAACCAGGCTCTTCCATCCATGGGATTTTCCAGGCAAGAATACTAGAGTGGGTTGCCATTTTCTTCTCCAGGGGGTCTTCCCAACCCAGGGATTGAACTCAGGTCTCCCACACTGCAGGAAGGCTCTTCGCTATCTGAGCCACCAGGGATCCCTAGCTCTCCTCCTTTTGAGTTTCACTTCAAGTCCTGAAAAGATGGGATGCGTGCTCAGTTATATATGACTCTTCACAACCCCATAGACTGTAGCCTGCCAGGCTCCTCTGCCCTTGAGGTTTTCCAGGGAGTAATACTAGAGTGGGTTGCCATTTCTTCCTCCAGTGGACCTTCCTGACCTAGGGATCAGACCCGGGTGTCCTGGAATTTCTGCATTGGTAGAGAGATTCTTTACCACTGAATCACCTGGGGAAAATGGGAGGGTTCCTTTCAACCTCTTGATTTAATTAGAAAGAAGGCAGTGGTTCTCTTATCTCTTGAATTTAAGGCAGAAGAGTCTTAAGCTAACCTTCACAAGGTAGTGTTCTTGCTCACATATTTCTCCCTCTAAAGTGCCCCTCCCATTGCCTCCCACTTACTCAGATCCTATCCACCATTGAGACACAGCTTGGGTCTCCCTCCCCCAGGAGCCTTGCCCAGCTACTGACTAGTACACTCGTCTCTCCCTTCTCTGAGCCTGTGGTTGCTCTTACAGGCAGCACAGCACAGTGTCGAATTGTTTCTTGTAACTGTAAGCTTATTGAAGACAGGGACAAACCCCAGAGCAGCAGCTATTGGATGCACAAAAAGTGTGAGCCCCATCACAGTCTCAGGGCCAAGAGATCCAGCCCTGAGCAAAGCAACAAAATGATTTTCTTTCCATGTTGCATCTTGAGTCGTATACATAACAGAGAATGCCAGTAAACATCTTTCAGAGGAAAACCCTGTCAGGGAACCATGCTGCTTCCTGTGAAGCAGAGGGCAGACTCTGGCCCAGTCTGACCTCCCCTGGGTGCCAAGTGTCTCATCGCCTGCGAGTCACCTGTCATGTTCCTTTCCTTCCTTTGCCCCAGTCTTGCTCATGAGATGTAGGAGGTGGCAGCACTCCCTGGGAAACTTTCCCTGGACAGACATCCCAGGGATTTTTTCACCTGCCCTGAGGAGGTTGGCCTGCCTTCACCCCACAGAGAGACACAGCAGAGCTTCTGCTGGTCCTCTACCCAGAACCTCTGCTCCACGGATAGTCAAGATAATGGGCACACCTGGCCCACAGATCCATACTTACTGTGTCAAGTATCCTGTTGTGTCCATTAGCCCACTTGACAATAACAAGTGCACACAGTCTGGTGTTTTAGACTTTACAAAGCACATTCACAAGCATAGTATCACCTGACCCTCACAATGGTCCTATAAAACGCTACAGCAAAGGGTCAAGGCATTGGAGGCACCTGGGCCTAAAAGACATCCGGAGAGGAGAGTTGCAATGTGCAGGCCTGAGGAAAACAGTGTGGGATGGTATACAGGGCCTAGACGAGGACTCAGTTGGCCATGGGTTCCAGTCCTGGCTCTGCTGCTGTCCAAACTTCCTTATTTAGGTATGACAAGCCTCATTTTGTTCACTGATAAACTGAGGTTAGATTAATGATCCCTGATGTTGTTTCATGCTCCAGATTAAATGAACTCTGATGTCATGTCATGTTTCAGAGGGACACTGTTTTAATGATCTTGGATTTAAAGTTAAATGCCACTGAGAGCAATATAACTTCCACAGTGGTTACTCTCATTCTACCCAGCATCTACCAATCTTCCCCATCTTGAGAGAACCTCTCTGGTTATTCAAGTTTTCATGGAGCTTGACAGGGGGAGCTGTACTTACCTTCCTGCGATCATGAGCTCTTTCTCAGACGCTTTCTTCCGGATCTTGGTGTAGATGTCCATGGTGAAGAGGGTGCTGGCGCTGTTGAAGATGGAGGTCAGGGAGCTCATGAGAGAGGCCAGCATGACCGACAGCATCAGGCCTCGCAGTCCTGGAAGAAAAGGAGGCTCTGAGTGGTACATGCAGCATTTCAGCTCTTTTGTGCTTGAAGTTGTGACAACTCAAGGTTTTTTGCCTTCTGACACCATGCCATATTATTTGATTTATCTCTCCAGAGAGATTAGACATTTAAGGAATGGACTGTGTCTTTAAATTATATTGGAAGTCCACAGCAGTCAACAAAGAGCTAGGGACAAAGTATACATGCAGTAAATGCTTTCCAGTTGGATTGCTGGCGGTAGTGGTGGTGATGGGTGTGTGTGTGTGTGTGTGTGTGTGTGTGTGTGTGTGTGTGTGTGCGCGTGTATGTGTTTGGGCGGGNGTGTGTGTGCGCGTGTATGTGTTTCCATCTGAGCCTTTATAAGGTCTCTCATCTGAAAGATTAATGATAATAGAGAAATATTTACACTAGGATTCAAAAGATGAGGTTTCAAGAAAGTGAAAAGACAGCCATAGAATGGGAGAAAATATTTTCATATATCTAATAGAGTTTTGGAAAACTATTCTATCATCCTCTAGGTATTGTATCTGTAAATAATTTTATAGTTTTGTTTTAATCTACAGACTAACAAAAAGAAAATTAAATTTGCCTATTCTGATCATTTTGTCATTTGTTGGGAGGGTTTTTTAATGGTTCCTCTTGAGAGTCTGTCATGTAGACTACAGACTATTGGAGCTACGAAGATCATCCAACTCTCTCATTTTTCAGTAATAGAATAAAATGTCCATTTCAAGGAATTAGTCTGTAGGGCTTTAAGTCTTAGTTCTGCCCTTTGCTCAGAGTGATTTACCAGTTAATTGCTAAGCTGGGATATAGCTCTCTCCTTTCTGTATCACCTCTTATCAAGCTTACATTCATTTATTCACTCAACAAATATTTGTTGAACATAATTTTACAGCAGCCCAGGAAACAGACAATGGCATATCAGAGTAGCATGATGGAGACAACAAGAGGAGGTAGATGAATATATGGAGGTAATATTGACAGACTTTGGTGAGGGATTGGTGGGGTAATATTTACCAGCTAAGTGAAGAAGGCTGAATCCGCAAATGAGACTTAAAAGGAATAGTTGGAAAGGATGAGGAGAAAACAGGAAAGGATAGTATTATAGAATCCAAGAGGAGGGAATAACTCAAGAAAGAGGAATGGTCAATAATGCTGAATGCTACTGAGGAACATATGGAAAATATCTATTTGATTTAGCATGGGGAGGTCACTGGGGAATCTGGTGTTTACAGAGGCCAGATTCCAGCCAAAAAGACTGGCAATGGTTTGTGCAGACACAATATTTTGTCTTGCATGCCACGCAGCTTTCTATCATGCATAATCCACTCTGGTACAGTGTTCAGAGCTACCTCACTCAGGATCTGCAGGTCCAAGGAAACAGCATAAACACCCCAACAGAGGCAAGAATCCCAGCCAGAACTCTAAAAGAGCCATGATTCTTGATAACTGCAACCTTAATTAATAAGCAGACCAGTTCAGTGGAATTGTTAACTATTACTCCCATTTTTATCGAAGTTGAATACAAACGATTTGCCCAAGGTCATATATCAAGTCTGTGGTTTAAAAAAAAAAAAACAAATTCCTCAATTCTCACCTTCAGCAGAGTTAACCATGCCAGACACTGAGTTACTGCGTGACCTTAGAAAATCACTTTCTCTATGTAGGCCTCAATTTTCCCAACTGTAAAATGAACAGGTTTTACTAGATGATCTTCATGTTTCCTTTCAGTAAAAAAAAATGTTGTTTACTCTAAATTTTCCTGATGAATACCTTTGAATTTTTGGTCTCCTGGGGCCCCTAACCTAAAGAGATTTCCATGCCTTAAAGCCAGAATTAGATTTTTAGTCAACATGAAGATGAAGAGTAAACACACAGGTCTACCCCAAAACTAACTATTCTGGGCTGTAAGTCTTCACTCTCCTGGATTCCATATTCTCTATAATGAGACGCACCCTTATATCTAATCTACCTACTGCCTTGAACTTCTTCATTCTAAAGCTAAAATCGCTCTTTGCCCTTCTCTCCATGTTTTTCCTTGGAAAAACCTAGGAGTCAATTCATTCTCCAGATAGAATTCCATTTAGTTCAACCCTCATGTTAATGTCTGTTGCAGAGCATCAAAAGACCTTAGAGCATGAAAAAGTTGTGTTTTTTCCCTAACACGTTTTCAGATGATGTCCTTCCCATGCCTGACTGATGGATGAGTGCCAGGACTCACAGAGCCCAACCAAGCCAGAGGTCTCCTTCCCACTGAAGCAAAGACAAGTTCCAATACTGAGGACCCCAGAGTGAGACTTGCTCTCCTAGACCTCCAGGCTCAGAAACAGCTTTGCCCCAGAAGGCCCACAGACAGCTATGTAGATAGAGCCCAAGTCCAATCAGCCTCCCAAGAGAGACCCTGCCAGCCAGGACAGCTCTCACCATTGGGCATGAGCTCCACTACCAAGGTGGGGTAGGCGATGTTGGTGCAGCCAACCTTGGTGCCGCAATATTTCTCGCACTCTGAGGGGACGGTGCAGGCGACTTTCTCTGAGGAGAGATAGAGAGTCATGTCAGCAAGCAGACATCAGAAATGTTTCCAAGATGCACCTTGTTAAGCAGGCATGCGTGCTAGGTGCTGTCATGTCTGACTCTTTGGGACCTCACGGACTGTAGACCACCAGGTTCCTCTGTCCATCGGATTTTCTAGGCAAGAAAATCAGTGGGTAGCCATTTCTTTATGCAGGGTATCTTCCCAACCCAGGGATCTAATGTGCATCTCCTGTGTCCGCTGATTGGGCAGGTGAATTCTTTACCACTAGTGCCACCTAGGACAACACTTCAAACAAGACATTCCTGCCCACAGCCCTGAAGTGGTTTCACAAAGAATGCAGCACCCAAGAGGCCCTTCTATGCCATCCCCCTGCCCTGCTAGTCCTCACCATCCCAAGCTCTGCCTGGGGAGGAAAGACAGCTTCGAGGCAGAGGAGGGAAAAGCGAAGAATGCTTAGGGAGGAAAGCAGAGGGAATAGTCCCCAGACTTTAGCTAGCTACAGATGTGAGAATCAGACCATAAAGAAAGCTGAGCACCTTCGAATTGTGGTGCTGGAGAAGAGCCTTGAGAGTCCCTTGACTGGAAGGAGATCAAACCAGTGAATCCTGAAGGAAATCAACCCTGAATGTTCATTGGAAGGACTGAGGCTGAAGCTGAAGCTCCAGTACTTTGGTCACTTGATGTGAAGAGTCAACTCATTGGAAAAGACCCTGATGCTGGGTAAGATTGAGGGCAAAAGGAGAAGGGGGCGACAAAGGATGAGATGGTTGGATGGCATCACCAACTCAATGGACATGAGTTTGAACAGACTCTGGGAGATGGTGAAGGACAGGGAAGCCTGGCATGATGCAGTCCATGGGGTCGCAAAGAGTCATACAGGACTTAGCAACTGAACAGCAACACACTACCATAACCTGGGGGTGTGGGGGGACACAGAGCAAAGGATGAGTAAATGTTAGCTAGAAGAAGCCTTAGCTAGAGGCATGTCATGACTTCAGAGAATCTGCAAAAGGGGAAACCGTAACTGTCTACGTAAAGAAACAGGGAACACAATTACACAAGTTCTGTGACCTCAAGTCACTCAGTGTCTGGGGCAGGGGTGACAATAATGCTTCATAATCATGGCAGGAAAAGAAGAGGGCAGAAAAAAAGGAAGAGGGAGCCATGGGGGGGTTTGAAGCGGGAAAAAGAGGTTGGTGAGTCCAGCAGAAGGTGTCTCTGTCACCTGTGAACAGGATGCGGCTGATCATCCCTGGCATCACCATGAGGAACATGGGCAGCAGCTTCATGTACCCACACATGATGCAGCCGGCCTTCACGTGCGACATGTTTTTGGCGGAGAGGCAGCGCTGCACAATGACCTGCCAGGGAAAGCCCAGTGAGGGGGGGGTGTAAGCAAGAGACCCTGCAATATGTTCTGACCTCCCCAGCTCCCACCACCACTCCAGGTCGTCAGCCTGGCACTCCCATATCACCAAGACTCAGCAGCCCTCAGACCACAGGAGCCTGCCCTGCCTTCCCCACAAGCTGCACGAAAGGCAGCAGGCTCTGCAGCTCCCTGGGGAAGACCTCATGGTCTTCCTCTCTCCTCTCTCTCCTCCCAGACCCAACAGCATGGGTACCTGGTCTGTGCACCAGTACCACAGGGAGATGATGGTCAGCCCAAAGATGAGCCCAGGCCAGGGCAGGTCTCCCTTGAGAGGATCTCGGAAGATGTGGAAGGAGTCAGCCCTCGGGGTGTAGCACTCTTCCTTGATGGTGGTGTTTCCATAAGATGTCACAGTTGGAATGGCATTCATGTATTTTGTCACGAAGGCACCATACCCTCCCACTTTGTGGAAAGCTGGAAAACATTGGTGACAAAGTCAACTTCCTGAAACTCTCAGCTCTTCACAGCAGTTTTTTTCTGCAGATGCCTGAGAAGCCCACAGCCAGAACTTGCACTGTGCAATCTCAGGCAAGTCATTGTCCCATTCTGGGCCTCAGCTTTCTCATCCATAGAATGGGATTATTAACCCTGCCCAGCCCCACCGGGGGCTACTGTGTGGGTCCAAAGCAATAACCTGTGAATGTACTCCAACCATGAGCTTCTTTACAAAGGGAAAGTATTTGAATTATTAAAAGATAGACCTTGGTTTTGAACCAGATTCAGAGATTCTGCTTTCCCCCTCACCACCTGCTCTCCTCAGTGGCCTTTGGGATCCTGGACGCAGACTAGGCACCCCTCATCCCAGCAGTGTGATGGGATGGAAGAGGATGGGTGAGGAAGTCAGGGACTCTGCCGCACGTTTGCTGTGGGAATAAGGTATTCCAGGCCCTGACCTGTGGAATAAGGCATTCCTTTCTCCTCCCCAAGTCTCCTGAGGACACCAAGGAAAACCAAACGGAAGCTCTTGGAAAACACAGTATAGAGAGACAATAAGAGGCTTCACAGAACACCCAGAAAGCATGGGCCCCCTTAAAAATAAAATGGTTTTTTATATCCTCCCATAACAAGTACCTCTATTTGCAGGGTTTTCGGTCTTGTCCTTAGGATTTCAAGACAAATAAAATTTCAAAACTGGGGGGACTGGGACTACAGAGTTGCTGATTTTTTTTTTTTGTCAAATAGGGAAGTAAATAAGAAAATGATCAATTCACAAAAGAAAGGACATTTAACTTTAAAAGGTAGATGACACAATCCAAGATTTAAGATGTGACATTTAAATATATTTAGTCTGATAGATATTTAGCCTTATCTTTTTTTTTTTTTTTTTCTTTTTTGTTCCAGTTTCTCTTTGGAGAGAAGACCATGACATCAGAGGCCCTCCCTGGGGTGCACTAGCCCAGACTGTGTAGAGGGGGCAGCAAGGAATCCAGGTATTGCCTGGGCTGGACCCAACCTGAGACCTCCAGGGCTGGGGAAGGTGTCCCCCGCACACCCACAGTGATGGCCAATCCAGGCCAGTCCACTCCCCCAGGGAGGGCAGAGTGTGCCCAGTTCACTGCCCAGGTCAGTGGCCTCTAACTCTGCCTCTCCACCTCCCCACCTGCCCCTGCCCCACTTACCAAACCCAGTCAGGATGAAAGACCCCAGCAGCATGATCACCGTCTGCAAGGTGTCTGTGTAAATCACAGCCGCCAGGCCCCCTAAGAGCAAAGGATGTGATGCATCTGACCTCAGGGGAGGGCACCCCATCGGCCCACCTCCCTTCCCCACCCTCTCCCTCTGCACGTCTTCTGCACCCCTCAGTCACCCTCCTGCCCTCCCTCCTTCCCTCTTTTGTCCTGTTACAGCCGCCTGCCACCCACATGTTCCACTTTTCACAGAAAGGCTGGGAAGGCCTTGGAAATAAAATTTCCCCCTATTTGAGGATGTAGAGTTTGATGTGATGCTTTAAGCCAGGAGAGCATCTGCCACAGACAGAGAAGGGAAGAGCAAAGAGCTGACACCTCACAAGATGTCTGGGGACGGGAGCAAATCAGCACATTTCAAAGGGCTACTTGCGTGTCCACTCTTTGTTTTCTCAGGCCGTTTGAGTAACTTGTCCCCAACACTATGGGGCTCCAGCTTGGCAGCAAGTTCCGTCACCTACCCTGCCTGCCCCTAATCAGAGTAGGGCAACACAGCTCTGCAAAGGCGCCCCCAGTGGCTACTCGTGTCTCCAGCTTCTCCAGCCACATCTTGAGTCTTCCTCTAAAACCTGTGTGTCACTCCCCCCTCCCTCCCCATAGTGCCCCTCACCCCCTGTCATGTCAAACCCAAGGTCTCTGTCAAGTGACTTTCAATACCCCCACACTGTGACCCCACTTCAGCCATCAGGTCTTACCACCTCCACCCTCCACCCTTAACTACTGCCCACTGAGCCCCCTCCTCCAGCAGGACGCACCCACTTGCTCACCTGCCCAGCCCTGCCACTCCCACTCCTGACTCCCTCGGTCCCACATCTCCCTGCACCTGGCCCTCCCTCTCTGCTTCTCCTGACTAGGACAAGTTCTCTGCTGTTCCCACCAACACTGGATTTTTCTGGGGCACCTACAACTGTTTCCTGGGTGGATCTCTTCCTTGAGAGGAGAAGCCACGTCTCCTCCCTCCTTTCACCCTTCACAAGTGCCTAACCCAAGCTGGGTTGGGGCTGAGCCATTCGAGGGAACTCACCTGTGATTGTGTAAAGGGCAGTGATTGCCAATAAGATAAAGATGGCTAGGTAGAGATCCAGGCCCAAGGCCAAGTTGATGAATATGGCCCCAGAAAAGATGTCTGCCTGAAAGGAGAGGAGAGGTGGGTTTGGGGTGAGAGAGACCAGCTGAGGCACGTCAGTCAGCTGTAGGGACAGGTAGGAGGGCTTGGAGAGGGTAGCAGAAACCGACTCCTAAGTCAGGTCAATGCCTGTGACTTCTGGGGCCCCATGCTGGCCCACAACCCCTTAACCTTTGGCTGAAATTTCACAATTAGTGGTTCACATCCTTATCCCCAGTTGAGGATATGAAAGACAAACAGTGCACAATTCCATGTATATGAGGTTTCTAAAATAGTCAAACTCATAAAATCTGGGGCTGGAATGGCTGTTACTAGGGGCTGGGGGAAGGTGGAGTTATTAATCAACGGACATAATCTCTCAGTTAAGTAAGAGTAATAAGCTCTAAAGATCTGCCCCACATCGCAGCTGGTCAACAATATGTATTGTACACTCAGAATCTGTCAAGAGGTTGGACGGGAAGCTACGTGTTCTGACCACAATAAAAGTGAACATAAAAAACAAAAGGAGGACTTCCCTGGTGGTACAGTGGATAGGAATCTGCCTGCCAGTGCAGGGGACACTGGTTCAGTCCCTGTCTGAGAAGATCCCACAAGCCACAGAGCAACTACTGAGCCTGAGAGCTGCAACTACTGAAGCCCATGTGCCTAGAGTCTGTGCTCTGCGATGAGAGAAGCCGCCACAATGAGAAGCCTGTGGGCTGCAACAAGGAGTGGCCCCTACTCACTGCAACTAGAGAAAGCCCAAACACAGCAATGAACATTCAGCACCACCAAAAAATAATAACTAATTAATTAAAATAAACTAACAGAAATAATAGGAAAATAAGAATATATATGAAAAAAACAAAAGGATATGAATACCTGAAAGAGAATCCTACTCTATTCCTAAATTTCCCAAAACGCTTTATTCAAGATGATAATAAATATTCCATAATTTAAAAAAAAAAGAAGTCTGTAAAAGAGGCCTGTGAAATGCTGAATTAAACAAAGTTAAGGCAGTTTCTTTACCCACAACTTCCCTGAGCCTTCAGTATACTGTGACTCCCCAGGAGAGAAATGTAGTAAATGACCCTTAACAAACTCACTCAACTGTGAAACTCTGTTTGCCAAGAAACAACTATTAACACCCTGAGGCTCCTCACAACCCACTTTGTGGGCTGCTGTTGTGAGCTGTTATCCTTCATTTACACCTCAGTGTAAAAGGTTTATCAGATCTACTCCCAAATACAAGTGTGAGTGCTGGAGTCTGAGAGGGAAAACCACCCTCACCCTGGAATGGAGAGAGATGTAAACACCACCATAATTGTATCTCCTCTGTCTAGATGGGATCCATGTGGATTCAGACACAGCCAGAGCATCACCAAGAACCTCCTGTGTGGCAGGCTTGGTGATAGATGTCTTTATCCAGATCAGAGGTGTGCAACCTCTGGGCCAGTACCTCCTGTCAGATCGGTGGTGGCATTAGATTAGAAATAAAGTGCACAATAAATGTAATGCACTTGAATCAGCTTGAAACCATCCCCTACCCCCCAGTCCATGGAAAAATTGTCTTTCATAAAACCAGTCCCTGGTGCCAAAAAGGTTGGGGACAGTTGATCTAGATTATCTCAAGTAAGTTTAGGGGGAAACACTCCCTCTTCACTCCTGAATTCACTAGTCCTTGATGCAGTTATTTTTCTACCTGCCTCATTTAGCCCCATAAAGAACTTTCTACCTGGCTGGTTGGTGCAGTTAAACCAACAGAGAGCCCTGGAGTCACCCAAAATGAATGTTCTTGTTGTCTCCAAAGTAGTACCAGAAGGACAGTATTAAGGGATGATGGTGGTGAACCTTTTGTTTTCAAATCTCTAGATGCAAAAGAACTAGGCTTTCCCTAGATGCAGTGCAAGGACTGTTTTATTGCATAAAACTGAACACATTTCAGAGCATGTAAGGGGCCACTCAGTCAGGCCCTGGGGAAGGGCGCCCTTGCATCTTCTCTCGATTCTTATCATCCCCTCTACTCCTCCTCACAGCTCCTCAGGGCCTCCAGTGGCTTGGTCCCACCGACCATATATCCTATTCCCTGCCTCTTGGTTGGCAGAGAGCTCATCTCACACCAACTAATGTCTGGCCTCTTCCCCCAAATCGGGCCTCTTGAGGACCTAGTGCCTTAGCTCCTGAGAAGATTCTCTAGTCCCAGGGGACCTACTGTCACTGTCTTCCCTGGAAGAGAAAGAGAGGCTGATCCAGGACATGGGGAGAGAGATGGTGACTTAGAAAGAGACCTCTGCCCTTAGGGTTGGTGGTGAGAGGACCTGGGTTTTATCCCCAATACTACCAGGATAGGTCTAAGTGACCTTGGATAAAACATTTCACCTCTCCCTGTCTCAGGGTTCTCATCTTTAAGGTGGGAAGCTCTGACTCCTGGGCCTTGTGATCTTCAGTAGCTGGAAGTGGGAAAGATCTGCAGCTGAGGAAAGCATTCCCCTCCGAGGTCTGAGACCTCTTCTACCTTGCCTTCTGGAGCAGCTAAGGCTGAAGAGGAAGAAAGAGCCCCCTGCTGCACAAAAGCCTCGCTAAGGGTGAAATGGCCACTCCTGCCAGACTCTGCACTCTAGGCCACGTGGAACTGTGATGAGTGTTCACAAAGTCAGTCTCTCCCCTCTGAGGCCTCTGTACCGTCACTAAAGTTATTTCAGTTTGAGGGGTTCCATTCATTGGAATGCTGTTAAGTGTGCACACTGCAGATTCAGTGAATTAGCTAATAAGCATAACTGAGCTATAAAAAGATTACAAGGCTGTTTCTCCTGCCTTTAAAATGCCCTTGGTTTATTTTTCAGCATAGTTAATTTGTAATGCTTTATGACAACACACCATAGCAGACTATGATACCCTCATTAATATTTGCTTTGCCATCATTAGTCACAAATAAGTAACACAGTTCCTAAGATAACATTATAAATGAAGTATATAGAGACTATGGGAAGTGTTGGGCTAATTGAAATCTTGCTTTTATAATATGCACTGTTTCCAGTTAACAGGACAGATAAAGAATTTCAAGAAAACCTCCCTCATGAACTGGAAAAGCTCTTCCTTGAAAAATTCTTCCTCCTATGAGTCATTCTTAACTTCAAGAATGAATTCTCTCTGCCCTTGGAACCCTGAAAGTCAGCAGGTGTGACCAAGGACATGATAGCTAAGCTTATTGTTAACCCCAGGCACTCTGACATGTCTTGGGGTCTCTTAGGTGCCCACATATTTCCCCACTTCATAAGAATAGTTTTTCCTCCATATCTAGGGGGTTTTACAGTTGACCAAGGACTTTTAGATACATATGTTGTTCTGATTCTCAAAACAAGGTAACAGGACAAGTAAACTGACTCCACTTTAGAGATGAGAGAGAAAAACTCAGTGACTTGCTCAAGGGCTAAAATCCAGGATTTCCATCTCCAAATTCAACGATTTCCCACAACATTCAAAGGTAAATGTCTTCTTTTCTGGAATAGTTTCTGCAGAGAGCAAGGTCTTTTTTTAATCAAAAAAAAATGTGTTTACTTCTTTTTAAAATAAAATAATTATGTTGTATGATTTCAAAACAATAGCACAGAAAGTTATACATTGAAAGTTAATACAGTCTTGCTTCTATCACTAGACCCAAAGACGACCACTATTGAGAGTCTTTCATCCACCAGAGGATTTTTAGGTGGCTGGCTGAAATCTGTATATCAACAATTATGCTCCATGGCCCCTAAAAAATAATTGTTAAGATGGAAATATGGGGAAATGTTTACAGTTTGATACTAAGAAGGGGGAGAATGACCATAAAATGGCTTGCGTATTCTGAATTCTGAATTGCATATTCTCTAAAGGAAAACACACACTATAGGCCAAGTCAAACTGTGAAAATGTCTGTGTCATAATTATAGGGTTATGGGTGCTTTTCCCCTGTAGATATTCTTAAATGCCATCATTATATTTTTTTTACAGTTCCAAAGTGAGGAAACAGAAATTTAATGACACAATATATTCCCTATGGATATATGAGTAATACACATTTTATAGTAAAAATATTCTTAAAATAGACCAGAAGAATACATACCAAGTTCAAGATAATGTTTACCTTTTAAGAAGAAGAAAATGGGGTTAGAAGGTTATAGATGAGCCTTACTATTATATTTTATTTCTTTTTTTTCTAATGATAAGCTATTTAGATCTATAGAATCTTGGTGGTAGTACTAGCTATATCATTTTTTGTACTTTACTGTATGTTTGAAGCATTTCATTACTTTTTTATTCATAAAATTTGAGGACTGGATGCAGAATATACCACCAGCTTTGATATAAAAGAACTTGCATCTAAACCTGTGAGATCAATTATTTCACAGCTCATCCCAAATTGCTCCTTCTCGAAACCCCTCTTAGCCCTTACTAAAGAAAGAAGGGAGAAGGTGAGGGGGTGGGGGACACAGAACTTTTTCCCAGTGCTGCTAAGCAAAACCAACTTGAAGTGAACTAGACATTTATGATTCTCTAGACCAGGGGCCAGCAAACTTTTTCTGTAAAGGCTCGCTTCATACATGTTTTAAGCTTTGCAGGACATACAGTTTCTGTCCAACCTGCACAAAGTCATCTACTGTTGAAGCATGAAAGCAGCCAAAGATGATACATCAATTAACAGGCATGACTGTGTTCCAAGAAAACTTTATTTACAAAGACAGGAAGGTGGATTTAGCCTTTGAAAGCTTGACTGAACAAGCTCTATGGAACTCACAGGGAACAATAAAATACAAATCCAGTTAGAAACCCTCTTAGAGTAACTAATCTCATTAGCCTTGGGAGGGTTATTTAGGCTTAGTTCTGATGCTTTGAAATTCTGTGATTTTACATGCATGCACTTGCTGCCCACTCTAGTCCGAGTTGTATCAGAGCACCCAGTAAATCTTGCCTGGCAATGAGGTTTGAGATGGAGAACCCAGTTATTCAAATTTCTCTATTTGTGAGTGAATGCACAAGGTGATAAGCATTCAAAACTTAAGCCAAAGCCAAAGCTCTTATTTTCAACCAAAGACACAGAATAGATAGCAAAGTTGCTATAGAAGTTTATTACAGTTGTGCTCTGTGATAAGAGTCCCAGGAAACATACCCAGGGATGTTTGGTCATCACAAGTAATTCATAAAATCTGAGGCTTTATCTCAAGTGAGGCTTTATCTTGTACATTTGAATAAGAGACACGATGCCAGGAAATTTTACAGCACAGAATGCTTCTCCGAACTTGATAAGGCAGGGTGTTAGGGTAGAGTGGGTGGATGGGAGGGAGCCTATAAAATTCTGAGGAATACATGCTTGTATTCAGTCACTCAGTTATGTCCAACTCTTTGTGACCCCACAGACTATAGTCCACCGGACTCCTCTATCCATGGGATTTTCCAGGCAAGAATACCGGAATGGGTTGCCATTTCCTTCTCCAGGGGATCTTCCCAAGCCAGGGATTGAACCCAAGTCTCCTGTACTGGCAGGCAGGTTCTTTACCACTGTGTCATCAGAGGAGCACATGGAGGAAAAATGAAGTGTCGGTCTCAGAAACTCAGAGTCCAAAAGACATGGCCCCAAGTGGCAGCCAGAGTCAAGACTCCATGCCACCCGTGGTCAGTGGCCTGGGCCACACCTGGGACCCTGCACCTGAAATTCATTTCAGTTTTTCTCTCCTATCAGTTACATGCCCGCTGGATCCCAACGTCCTCCCAAAGCCTTCCTGTCAGGTCTCTGGTTGCTCCCTGTCTGGACGTGGATCTCAAAGGCCACTCTTCTTTTCTCATCCATCATAAACTACCCATGCCTCCACACGCACAACAACAGTGACTAATCTCTGTGTGCAATGACTACCTTATTTTAATTAACGATTCCTTTCGCCCACAAGCCCTGAACCACGTGCATCTTAATGTGCGCTCCCAGCGAGTACAGTCACTATCCGTGTAATTCTTTTAAGGATTTCATGCTGTGTGACCTACAGTGAATCTGAAGTCAGGCTAATTTTTAAAGACAAAGCCTTGCCTTTCTGGCCTTCCCTGTCCCTCCGCACTGCCTAAATGGCCCACCTTCAGATCCTTCATGCACCCAGTGTGAGCTGACTTCTCCCTTCACAGTCCTCTCAAATCCCACTCTCAGAGATGTGGTTATATTGGAAGGTCACTTAACTGGCTATTTCACTTTTCCCCAAGGTCTTGAATTTTGATCTGTTTATACTGGACTTAGAAGACCCAGGGGACATATTGTCAAAAGTATCAGAGACTCTGCTTCTCAACCTAGCTCTGCTACTGTTTAACCCCACAAAGCCCCTTCTCTTCTCTGGTCCTCAGTTTCTCCACTGAAAAATAGGAGCGTCAATCATAGAACTAGGTAATCTATCCCACTCTGTTATCCTATGCCTTCATCCCATCCAAGCACAGAGCAGAATTGTGAGAATACGGACAATGGGACTAGAGAGACCCAGACTCCAGTCTTGTCTTTGCCTACACTAGCTACACGACTGGAGACAAATTACTCAATTTCTCTGAGACTCAGTTTTCTCCTCCATGAAGTGGAAAATAAGTTAAAATCCCCACCCATGCCATACTCTTATGAGGACTGGAGATGGAAATAGTCAAGCCCCTACTGGAGACTAAATAAAAAGATTGGCACAAAACAAAAGGCAGAGGTCATCCTTCATATGCATTTTCAAGCGATCACTGGCTCTGGGCATTGGGTGGACATTGGGCAAGGCCTCCAGTAAGCAGCCCCAGAAATCACACAGAAAGGGTGCAAGTTACTTCAATCATGTCTGACTCTTTGTGACCTTCTGGACTTTAGCTCACTCAGCTCCTCTGTCCATGGGATTCTCTAGGAAACAGTACTGGAGTGGGTTGCCATATTCTCCTCCAGGGAATTTTCCCAACCCAGGGATTGAATCCATATCTCTTACGTCTACCTGCATTGGCAGGCAGGTTCTTTACCACTAGTACCACCTAGGAAGCCCACAATCCATACTAAGTACTATTCAAAAGTAAAATTCAGAAGAAGCCAAGTGCTAGGGAAAGGATGGACTCCATCAGGACCTGAGCTGAGGGAGGCTGCCCCTCAGGTACCTGTGGGATCCCAGGTCCAGGAGGTTTAATCAGTAACCTGAACTATAGGTGAGGTTATTGGGAAGGCAGACAGAGAGGCTGAGCCTTGAGCTTATTTATATGACTGTTGCTGCATTGCTCCAAGGGCAAAGCTCAGCCAGCAGACTTTCCCCCACCTGAACTGTGGACTTGGAGAAGGTTGGCTTCCAAGAAAGGGAATGCCAGTGCCCCCCTCTACATGCTCCCTAGACAGGTGCCACCTCACAAGCTGAATCAGGGAGCAAGGAGCGGTCCCCATCAGCTTCTGTGGGTGCCAGGGTCACCTCCGTACCTTTCTGCTTACATTCCTTTCCTCCTCTCGCCCCTGCCCTCCCCTCCCTCAGGAAGCCTGATTTCTCCACCCCTCCCAGCAACTCCCAGTCCAGTCTATACACACCTGTCTCTAAGGAAGTAAGACTGAAATGCCCAGGGTTTTCATCTTGTAACTAAAAACTACCCTGAAGGAAGGGAGGAAAAAGTGAAGGAGTGGAATCATCACACAGGCACCAGTCAAGGGTAGCAGCCCCTGACGTCAGGAAGCTGGGGTGAGAGAGAACAGTGAGGCTGGGTATCAGTCCCAACTCCAATCAAAGCCCTACGGGCCCAATTCCTGAGCCTATGTTCCCGGTGAGACCATTCAGTCGGGACATAACAATCGCTTCAGTGGTTCTGGGAGAAAACAGACGTCCATGTGCAAAAGAATGAACTTGGACTCTACTTCAATCATATACAAAGGTCACTCAAAGTAGATCAAATACCTCAATGTAAGAGCTAAGACTATAAAACTCTTAGGAACAAACATAGCATTCAATCTTCATGATCTTGGATTTGGCAACGGATTCTTAAAATGACACCAAAAGCACAAGCAAGAAAAGAAAAAACATAAATTGGACTTCGTCAAGATTGAAAACTTTTGTGCATCAGAGGACACTAAAGTGAAAAGACAACCTACAGAATGGGAGAAAATATTTGCAAATCATATATCAGATAAGGGTAAGTTATTCAGAATATATAAAGAACAATTTTAATGCAACAACAATAAGACAACCCAATCAAAAAAAGTATAAGAAAAAAAAAAGTATAAGAATGTAAAAGGTAATAATAGAAAACAGAAAAATTATTGTGGTAGTCTGAAAAAATATATATACATATATATACATATATACATATATATATGTATATATACATATATTTCCTCTAGAGAAAGAAAACAGTCAAATGCCAAGTGTAAATTTCATGTGACCCTGATTTAAGCAAATCCACTGAAAGAAGACATTTTCCAGATAATCAGGAAAATCTGAATATGGACCAGGAGTTAAACTACCTAAAATAAGAAATGACTATAAATTTTGTTAAGCATGATAACAGCATAATGGCTATATGTTTTCAAAAGGTAAAGGTGCATTCCAAAGAATCTACAGTGAGATGACATGATGTCTGGCATTTGACTTAAAATACTACTGGAGAAAAAAAGGTGGAAAGGAAGAGATGAACCAAGAATGGCAAAATGCTGTTCACTCTGAAAGCCTGGTGACAAGACTAGGTCCAGATTCTGACCCTGACAGGGTATAAAGGCTTACAGCTTTATGTCAGGGCCAGCCCTCAGGCATCCGTTACTTCCTTTTAATCTTCTACTAAGAACAGCTTTCACTGAACCTTCTCGAACCACTTATGTCTTCAACCTTCCCCACAGTAAGGAGGTCTGTGTGTTCAGTCCTTGATGTGTGAAATAGGACTTTACCCTCAGAAGCAAGAAGGCCTGAGGGACCAAGTTAACAGCAACACAGCACTAGCCTTTGTGGACCAGCATTTGCTGAGGAGCAAGAGGAGGCAGGTTCTGAGCCAGCCAGTGCCCAGCACCCGGGGCGGGGGACTCACCGAGATCTTGGTGAAAATGTACAGCACCAGGGACAGGACAGACAGGTAGACCTGGATCCGCTGGCCTCCAAATCGCTTCCGCAGGTACTCTGGCATCGTCACCACCTGCACGGACGGAAGGGCGGTCACTGCCAGCCTAGGTGATCAGAAGGCCCAGAGCAAGCAGAGCAGGGCACCACTCTGGTGTCAGAGGTGTGGTCACATCTCTGACCCTGCTGGTCAGAGGAGTCTGAGAGGTGTCCATGTGTTCCTGTCCTCCAGCCATTTGCTCATCTCAATTCTACACTCCCAGGCAACTGATCCCAGGACATAGTATGTGCCCAATAAACAATATTTTAATGAACACATGAATGCATATAACCAAGAAGACAGATCCTTGCCTTGAAGGAGAAAGTGATAGATAAATAGATCGGTGTGCATCTGTGCTCAGTCATGTCCAACAATTTTTGGATCCCATGGACTATAGCCCCCTAGGCTCCTCCATCCATGGGATTTTCCAGGCAAAAATACTGGAGCAGGTTGCCATTTCCTCTTCCAAGGGATCTTCCTGACCCAGGAATTAAACCCACATGTCCTGCATTGCAGGTGGATTCTTTACCACAGTGCCACTGGGAAGCCCCTAAATAGATAGTCTTATACAAAGCAGCTACTGTAAACAAGACGTCATAACCACGGTGGGATCTTTTCAGTGCCCTGAAACAAGATGGCCAGGCTGGGAGCATGCTTCACCCTGCTCTGCACAGAAGCCTTGCCAAGGGCTGTGGCTGCTGGCCAGCTCAACTGCTCTCCTAGCTCCTTTCTGCAAATTTCAACCACACTCTGTCTCTTATCCTCAACCCTGAGCCTGCTGTCTCCTGGAATCAGACATGTGTCACCAACAGTCCATGAGCCTCCAGGAGATGCAGGAGCGCAGGTTTACCTGTGCTTCCTCTTTACTGCTTTCAGCTCCCAATGTATAGATGTACAGGTAGTAGATGCTCATTACATCTCAGTGGATGGATGATGCTAAAGCTGTCTTATGTAAAATGTCAGAGGTTTAGTCAAGAGACTGAACACACATTTGATAGATGAGTGCAGCTGCATGCTCAGCAACAAGGACTGTTGATGTTTGTAAATGAAAAGAAACTGTGGTTCTTTTTTCTCATGCTGCTTCCCTTCCAGGGGCAGAGGTAGACGGTTATGTATCATGAGCAATGCACAGCAGTACCTTGCAAGTATTCATTCACCCGAATGTGAGGGAATGTGATAATTTAGGTGCTGAATAGACTGAGCCTGCTTAGGAGGGCTTCCTAGAGGGACAAGTCGTGGCCAAGTGGCCTCTGAGAGCAGTCAGGAACTTTATAGCCCAGGAAAGAGCCAAGTCATAGGCTCTTGTCCCAAAAAGTCTCCTCTGCTTTCCAGGAGGACCAAGTTTACACAAATACTTGCCAGCAGGAAAATACATCTTACATAATAACAGAGCAGATACTTACCCCTGCCTTAATGTAAATGGGGACAAACACCCAGCCTAGCACAACCACCAAAACCAGGGCCTAAAACCAAAAAGGAGGCGGAGTCAAACCAGGAGGAGACTTAACCCACACTGCTGCCTGCAGGGCCCACAGCTGCTCCAGAACAACCACCTGGCATTTTCTCTTTGAGCTCTAGGGACAACTTCCTAAGTGACATCAGTGCCTGAAGGAGACCTGTGATGCCTGATGGGCCCATGGGGACAACAGTTGGGCAACAGTGGACAGGGACCCAGGCGGCTACCCACTGGCATCACAGTCCCTTCGCCCTTCTCCCTGGTTTACAGGAGTAAAATACCATTTAGAAAGCTTTTAAAAATAATAATAATGTTGGAAATCTGGTGGTAAGTATTTCCAAACCTCTAATGTGGCTAAAAGGGTAGGAGAGGGCTTGGCTTTTTTGAATTTATTTTTAGTTGAAGGATAATTGCTTTACAATGCTGTGTTGGTTTCTGCCGAACAGCAACGTGAATCAGCCATGAGTACACATGTGTCCTTTCCCTCTTGGACCTCCCGCACCACATCCCATCACTCTAGGTCATCGCAGAGCACAGGGCTGAGCTCCCGATGCTTTCTAGCAGCTTCCCACTAGCTAGCTACTTTACACGTGGTAACGTGTATATGTCAGTGCTACTCTCTCAATTTGCCCCACCCTTTTAAAAGAAGGCCATCGTGTCAGTGATTTCTTGCGGTGGAAGGGGAGCCGGACCCTGGGGGCCTGAAACTGAGCCCCTCCTCTACCGCACTGCAAGGTGGCCCCGGGAGGTCCTCTAATGTCTAGAACATCTCTGAGTGTGAACTGCACTGGCCGGCTGCTGAAGCTACTTCCAGGACCAGGACACAGTCTCCAGTGTCACTCACATTCCATTCAAAGCCCCCAGTGGCAATTCCTGCAGCTGCTCCGGTCCCCGCCAGTCCCACAAAGTGGCCGCTTCCAATGTTGCTGGCAAACAGAGAGGCTCCAATCTGGAAACACAGAAAGTTCAGGTGAGGACTCTGTGATTCACCAGGACACTCAAGGCCAGACCAAAGATAGAAGAGACATGGCAACCAAGAGAAGGGTAAGAAAGAGCAGAAGCCGCCCAGGAACCTGACTGCTAGAGTCTGCTGCGACCGCCGGTTCAGAAGGTGAATGTGGGGACTTGGGGAATGGTGAAGATAAAAAGGGGGGGACTGGAGGAGCTGTGGGATGTATCCCCAGATCAGATCGCTGTGAGACCTTTGTGAGCCCAGTGCTCAATAGTTAAGGAGGTATGGTAAGCCCACATCCCATCAGGCCTCCTCTAGAAGTCTCCTCAGGGGCTGGGGGTGCAGGTGCAGGGCCTCTGCCATTCATCTCAGTGTTCTCCAGCACTGCTGACTGGGGACCTTGACCAATACAGGCTCTCAGGAAATGGGGACAGTTTCGTTGAAAGAAATCATTTAAAAGGAAGCCTCCGGACCTTAGATCACTTGTCACTTGTCAAATAAGGCAAGGGGTAGGGCCAATAATTTCCAAGTGACTCCTAGCTGTAATCCCATTAGCTCCCAAGGACCTCACTTTTTTTTCACTTATATAAGAGACACTACTAGTAATGATACTCTCTAAGGTGCTCAGTTGCTCAGTCAAGTCTGACTCTTTTTGACTCCATGGACTGTAGCTCACTAGGCTCCTCTGTCCATGGAATTTTCCAGGCAAAAATACTGGAGTGGGTTGCCATTTCCTCCTCCAGGGGTCTTCCCAGCCCAGGGACTGAACTCACATCTCCTGTGTCTCCAGCATTGCAGGCGAATTCTTTACCACTGAGTCACCAGGGAACCCCAATATCTCTCTAAATTGATTTTTTTTTTTGGCCTTATCACAATCTTGTGGAATCTTAGTTCCCCCACCAGGGATCGAACCTGAGCCCCTGGCAGTGAAAGCATGGAGTTGTAACCACTGAATGGCCAGGGAATTCCTTCAATATAGTATTTTTATCTTTTACAAAGATCTCCAAGACCCCATGTATACATGTACAAAACACTGCATTTTTCAAAGGTATATTTCTAATAACATAAGCTAGAAGACAAATTGGAAGGATGTGTATTAAATACCCAAGAGTGGAAGCCTGGGAGAGGAAAGGAGAATGGGACTGTGACTAGGAGATGAAGGAGGAAGTATCAGGGGAAACGAGAGAGGGATTTGCACTGACTGATCATGATACTGTACCATCAACTCAACGGCATCTGAGATCCAAGAGAACACCAAAAAGTTCTAGAGTTTTTCTATATCCAGGAGAAGAAGGCAGAGCAACAATTGAAAAGCACCACACTAGTATTGATATAATTATCCCCAGTCTTGCTGAGCAATGCCGAGAGGCTCTATTTGTCTAAAATCCTAAAATGGTTCAATCCTGGAACAAAACATATTTCCCAAAAGGCAGATTATTATTCAAGGAACTGTCCTAACTCTCCCTCAATATATGATTTACAGCTGATATGCTTAGTGCCATATGCTAAGTCGGAGGAGAGGGTCTGGAGGTCTCCAGAATGATGAGGAGATGATGGTGTAAGTGGCTTCATTCATTCATCCCACAAATGTTAATTAGCACCTATTCAATATGTCAAGCTCTATTCTAGACACTGAGGATTCCTCTATGAAAAGTACTGACAAAAAAGAAAAGAAAAAGAGAGATCAGTGCTGTGAAGAGAATAGAAAAGTGTGATAGAGTGATCCTCTGTGGGGTGTCTAAACTGAGATCAGAATGATAAAAGAACTCAACCACGCTGAGATCAGAGGGAAAGCATTCCAGCAAAGATCACTCCTCTGGCCAAGTAGGAAGGTCATCGTGGTTGGAAAGCAGAAAGAAGGCCAGAGTGGCTGCAGTGTATGGGTGGAGTGAGATGAGGTTGGAAAGCTGGGAGGGGTACATCACGTAGGTCCAAGTGGGCCGCAGTAGGAGTGTGGATTTTACTCTGTGATGGGAAGCCACTGGAGGGCTTCAAGCAGGGCAGGAACAGGATCTAACCTGTTTTCAAGGCTTTCTCTCAAGTATGTGGAGAGTGTAGTGCTGGGGGCAAAAGAGAAAACAGAAACATGCAAGAGGCAATTGCTGCTTGTAGATGAGAAGGGACAGTGGCTTGGTCTCCGGTGGTGGCAGTTGAGACAAAGACAAGCATAGACATTGGGGTACATTTCAGAAACAAACTTGATGAGCCTTGTTGATGGATCAGATGTAGGAGACTGGAGAGAGGGGTCATCAAAGATAATGCCTAGAATCAGGACTTCAGTGACTAGGTGGATGTCATTCACTGAGAAGGGAAACTGTGTACTTTAATTATTGCAGCTTAAGAATTTTAATCTTTTGTTGCCTATACTTTAAAGTGTGTTGAACAACATACACTTACTTGCCTTAGTTAAAAGAATAGGACCCGGTAAACTCTGCATAAAGAAGTAAATTACCGGGGACTTCCCTGGTGATCCAGCGGTTAAGGATCTGCCTTCCAGTGCAGGGGACATGGGTTCTATCCTTGGCCAGGCAACTAAAGCCCACACGTGCCACTACTACTGAGCCCACAGGCAATGAAAAGATCCCAAATGCCACAACTAAGACCCAACAGCCAAAAGTAAAAATAATAAATTAAGTAATTAAGTGAAAAAAAAGAAATGAAAAAAAGAAGTAAATTACCATTGCCTCCAATCATAAATGGAATTCTCATGATGTGAAAATTCTATTGATTCACACTACAATTTGTCCTCATTGTAGCACAAACATTAAAATACTTTGTGAGGGTAAAAAATGAAGAAAAGGAAAGAGGAAGAGGGGAAGGGGAAACTGAGAGGAAAGCTGGCTGTTTAAGCACATCCACCTCCTCCTCAAAGCTTGGTGGGAATAACAGTGCGCCTTTAATCAGAATTCCCTTCTGTGTGTAGCCTGCCTGTCATGATCCATCATCTTTTTTTTTCATTTATCATCTCTTACTCAATAAATGATTAAGCCTAATGTTGTACTATTAAGAGCATAATAATCAGTAATGATTAACTGCATTAGATTAACCTTAAGTTTAAGAAGTCTTCTCCAAGATCCCCCCAAAGGGAGACAGTGGACTTCAAGCAGTTGTAGGCTTTCTTGAGGCAGTCTGTCACCATATGATGGAGTGGTGGCCAGGGGAGCTCTGGGGATATTGGTCCAGACTCAGTTCATTTTTATCACGGTCATCACTGTTCTCCAGTCGTTCGCCTTGGCCTCATCTGAACTCCTAACCATCGCCATAGGACCTGCACTGAATCATTTACGCCTGACTCTGCCTTCACAACGGCACTGGCACCCAGCACTTTTCACATGGTCCTTGTACAGGCTGTCATTATCTCCCATTTTTTCTTTTTAAAAAATTTTTTTTAATTTATTGGCTGTGCCAGGTGTCAGTTGCAACACTCAGGATCCTCAACCTTCATTGTGGCATGCTGAATCTTTAGTTTCGGCATGAGAACTCTTAGTTGTGGCACATGGGATCTAGTTCTCTGAGCAGGGGTTGTTGTTGTTCAGTTGCTAAGTCATGTCTGACTCTTAGCAACCCCATGGACTGAAGGATGCCAGGCTTCCCTGTCCTTCACCATCTCCCAGAGTTTGCTCAAACTCATGTCCATTGAGTCAGTGATGCTATCTAATCATCCCATCTTCTGCCACCCTCTTCTCCTTCTGCCTTCTATCTTTCCCAGCATCAGGATCTTTTCCAATGAGCTCTTTGCATCAAGTGGCCAAGTATTGGAGCTTCAGCTTCAGTATCAGTCCTTCCAATGAATATTCAGGACTGATTTCCTTTAGGATTAATTGGTTTGATCTCCTTGCAGGGGACAGGGGCTGTGCCTACCCTCAAATCTTCTCCAGGCTAAGCTTCGTCTTCTCATGTGTCTGCTCCTCAAGAGCCACTTTTGTCACTCTCTCTGTTGCCTGCAGCCCCAGTTATGACCCCAGATGGGCTTCAGACCTGAATCGACCAGTCCAGACGTGACTGGACTGAATAACCAGCCTGAGCAGGCTACCCTTCTTGACTTCACATCTGTTTTTGACAGCATGTGGCTTCAGGTACTCTTTCAAACCTGCCACTCAGCACTGGGTCCTTGGCAGTGCTGAGGACAAAGCCAGCGCCTCTGATTCCCATCCCTGTCAGAGACTCTGCCTCTAAATTATCTGGACCATTTAACAGAAACAGACTTCTTCTCATTGCAATTTAGATTCCTGACAATGTGGAATTATCAACTCCACATTAACAATACAGTGGCTGTATCACTTAGAATTCTTTCCTTCAATCCCTCCAGGATTTGGCACAAATTTGATGTCTTCCCATGAGCCTTTTCTAAAGGGACAACTACTGAAACCACAAGGAAAACATCTGGCCAAATTCATTTCTCCATACCAACTACAGTCAGTCCCCTACATACAAACCTTCAAGTAGGGAACTTTCAAAGATGCAAATGTGCATACCAGCCCCGGTACACCAGCTGTTTTACTACTGTACTTTTCAAGGTGTGTGTGTGCTTAGTCGCTCAGTCATATCTGACTCTTTGCAACCCTAAGGACTATAGCCTGCCAGGGTCCTCCATCCAGGGTTTTCCCAGGCAAGAATACCAGAGAAGGTTGCCATTTCCTTCTCCAAGGGATCTTCCTGACCCAGGAATTGAACCCATGTCTCCTACACTGGGGCTTCCCTGGTGGTTCAGACGGTAAAGCGTCTTCCTGCAATGCGGGAGACCCGAGTTCGATCCCTGGGTCAGGAAGATCCCCTGGAGAAGGAAATGGCAACCCACTCCAGTACTCATGCCTGGAAAATTCCATGGACCAAGGAACCTAGTAGGCTACAGTCCATGGGGTCTCGAAGAGTCGGACACGACTGAGCGACTTCTCTTCTTCTCTTCTCTTCTCCTACATTGGCATGCAGATTTTTTACCACTGAGCCACCTAGGAAGCCTTTTCAAGGTACTGTACTGTAAGATTAGATGTGTTTTC